AAGGCTAGTCTCTAGAAAGACTACTTATTATTACTTTTAAAAAGCTATACTTATTCTTTAGTACTAAAATTAATTAACTAGTAATAAGATAATACTTATAAGACTTATTTATAAGAGGTTCCTATTCCCTTATAGACCTACTAAAGGTCTTCTCTTCCTCCTTAAAAGAAAATAAAGTACACTTATAGTAACTATAGTAGTTATATAATAGTAAGACTACTATAGCCTTAAGGCCTATAGTAGCTATAAAGGTATATATATAAGCCTTACTAAAGGTAATAGTTTTATAAAATATCTAAAAAAAAAAGAAGTATTAGTAATTAAGTAAAGTAGTATAATAATATAAAAGATAATAAGTTAGTAATTAATTATAATAAAAATAATAATATAACTTATAATTATTATTATAGTTATTAAAAAAAAAGAGAAAAAAGTAACTATAAATTTAGCCTTAAGGTAAATATTTACTAGTGTATAGGCTAGCCTTATAGCAAGTAGCCTTACTAATAAGAACACCTAATGCTAATAGCCTATAATTATATAATAACTAGCCCTTTTACACTAGAAGAATAATTTTTCCTTTATATCTAGGTGTATAGTAACCTACGCTAATGCCTAAGGGGGTATATTATGCAGGATATTGCTGACTAACACTGCCTTCTAGAACAACGTTGCTTATTAATCTAACCCTTGCTCCTAAATATGGATACTTGCGGCAGAATCCACTAAGCAAGGCAATATTTAAGGAACATGGATTATAGCACTATAGATAGAAGAAACAAGCCACTTTCAACTACATGAATTGCCCCCTAAACGCACTGCTTGATGATAAGTTCCTATCGACGGGGGGGGGGGGGGGGGGGGGGCGTCTCGGCCCATGGCGGAGCTGAGCAGACTAAGAGCCATGGATGGCGCCGGGCATTACAAGTTCATAGTGTCCAGCCCGCCGGGCTCGAGTTTTGGGGAACGGGTTGAATAGATTGCTTAGATACGTGCGTGCCAGAGGAAAGACCGAGCGGATTCCCACGAGGCGCCGGGGAAGGGCTGGACCATATCGACGAAAGACTCGGCCAGCCCCAACTGGGAACACTAGGAAGAGGATATTTGATATGTCTCAGCACCTTATCAGAGGTCATTTGACACCAGGAACGCAATCAGTCATGCCATGGTTGAGGAATGCCAGATCATTGACCGCGGGACAGCCAGACTGGACAGCTGGGAACCGAAAAGACATGCCAGTCGAGCCCGTCAATCGGGATCGAGTCGTGGGGTCAGTCCCCTCCAAGCGAAGGAGTACCGGTATGAGCCCAACTCCGGGCAGCGATCTGCGGATTCTTCAAGTGGTGAGCGAATGGCCATCTGCAGGAACGCGCCTTTTGGCGGGGTCGGAGACGTCAGACGTCTTTCCCCCCAGGTTCCCTCCTCTAAACTAGTTCAGCCAACATCTCAATCCCGCCACGGCACGAATACAAAATCAAGATGCCGAACGAACGGCAGGGGGGGACAAAGGAACGGATGAAAGAAAAGAAAACCAGGTTCGCGAACGAACGGTGACGTGTGACCCAGTGACGACAGATGTTCCGGCAATCGACGAGGATTGTTTTCAGCAAGAGATCGGAGGCCGCGTAAGGCGACTGCTGTACGTACTAGGTAGTAGCTGCTGTTCTGGGCCTGCATCACTGCAGCGAAACCTGGACCCACTGTCTGCTGTGGCGTGGTTACGGAGAGGCCAGTGACAGGCAAGGCGCAGCGTTCCGTGACTCCGCCATTCAGGTCGTCAGGGTCCTACGGCGATGCCCCACCACCACCTACCGTTGCCGCTCTCGTCTCCTCCGTCGCCGCCGAATCCGGTTAATGTCTGGATGAGGCAGGGCGACAGGGGTGTGGGTGTGGGTGTTAGTGCGAGTGCGGGGGGCGTTCCAGCGAAAGGGGGTTTTCCAGCTGAGGAAAGAAGGCGCAGAATGCTTCGAGTGGGGATTTCGAAGGCCAGGGCAGCTTTTGTCATTTCCATTGACAATGGCAGGGCTCGGGCCCTCTGGAGTATGAATACTGTCTTAGGCCTCGAATACGTACGGGGGGTTAGGTAGTAGAGAAATAAGGTGCATCTCGCTGGAATGCCCATCCAAATACGGCTGGTGGTTAGTAAGGATAGGAGGCTGACTCGCACTGTGACTAGGTTTATCCATCGTTTAACAAGTTTCTTAAGCATAGATTTGGAGCTTAAAGTACAATGTTTGTCGACCTTGCCGGCTTGGCTAAGCCCTGGCATAGATACCGGTCAAGAGTCCGCGCCAAAACCCGGAGTAGACGTGGACGGTTGAGGCCCAGACTGGAGGTCAAACAAAAAACGAGAGAACTGGCGGCAGCGGCGGTCGGCAAAGTCATGAGGTTGGAGCGTCTCATCCAAGTCGGTCAGAGGAGCTGCTCTGCAGTGGCTAGTCGACGGGCGGGACCAGTGAGGTAGGCGTCAGCGAGACACTCGAGAGACACCGAGCGAACCCACAGTATCGTTTGATTGGCATCATTGGATCATCGGGTGGCGCTAGTAAATCGAGTTGGAGACGAGGTGAGGATTGACCAGATACTCTCGGTTGCGGTCCAAGGGGGTTATCGTTGCAATGTTTGTTTGGGCAAGTTTCTTGGGTACATGAGTAGGTAGCGAAGAGCTGAGCAGGCCGCCGTCAAAAGTTTGGCTTGGGCAAGTAACAGAATCCTGGTTTCCGTCGGGCCCCCTTCTCTCACTCTCTCTTCTTCTCTCTCACTCTCTCTTGCCTTTTCTTCTCTTTCAGTGCCCCTCTCTCCTTCTTTTTGTTTCCCTCTCCTTTTTTTTGCGTTTTCGGAAACCGACCGAGTCTGTGAGTCGAGTATTGCCAGGGGGGGGGGGGGGGGGTTTACTACATCGTATGTATAAAAATAAAAAAAAACCCTCGACCATGACAGAGCGGAGTCCACGGACGCGTGCCAACCATCCTACCACATATTGCGATCTGATGGGATCCTGGCTTTAGGTGAGGAGCTAAGGCTGTCTGGGTTAAACAACGCTAAACCTAATGTGTCTTTACCTTTGGGGACGGATTTGTCCGACCTTGCTGGTTCACCTACCGACGCCAAGGTATTTACCTACCTAGGTAAGATAGGTAGTTACGTGGATCGCTATCTTGCCGCACCTCACCACAGGTTGGCACTGTTTTCGTGATGCGAGACAGGCGGCATGATGCGGCGGTGAGGTGAGATTTGCAACAACGTAATGCAACACTGCGATAGGTCTCCATGATATAAACAGCATGCATCCCGCCCGCCCTCCCGTGCCGCGGCGATTTTCGTACAGGAAAATCCTTGGATACCATCACTCCTCTCCGCTTGCAGACTCGCCGCATAACGAAGGGCACGTCAACTTTCGGTCACGGCCCATCATCGCCAGCAGCCAACCATTCATCCATCGAGGGTAGAAACTTGATTTGCGTCACCCGCCTCCAACGGCCACGCGCTTGCTCTCTTCTCTCTTTCCTCGCACGAACCCCGACACTCTTCTGACAAGGCCAAACCTCACGAACCTTGCAACCATCTACGCAAACCGTTTCATCATCGACTCTCGACACTCTTTGCTTTTTCTGCAAAGCCCAGCTTACCCCTCCTACCGCGCGCTTGTTCAGTGGAGAGGCCCTCCCCTCTTCAACTTTCGTCATCGTCTTCGGTCCTGCTATTCGTCGCCAGAAGCCAGCGGTCGAGCAAGCAAAAAAGGAAATACCTAACCACCCAGACGTTTTCTCTCTCGGCCATCTCTCTGCCTAGAAAGGCTCGAGTTCGAAACCAAAGTCCCGCTGCGGTGCGCCAAGACTCTCCGCCGTCCTACCACCTGCTTAAGACGGGATCCCCAGCGAGGTTCCACCGCTGACGCTTCACCCCCTCTCCCAAGCGAGCGGGATTCCGGCACATATCGTACCAATGGCTTGCGCCGGCCAAGGTGAGCCATGCCGAATTTCCTTGTCTGTCGTGTCTTTCCAAGCTTCATCTGTCGCTGTTCCAAACCCACTCCCCGTCTCTCCCGCCCTCGGAAACCCCCTCTCCGTCCGCCACTCATCATTCCATGATCCATTCAGCCAGAGGAAACAGACCGCTGGCCAGCCGGGGGTACCCATGTTTCTTCCAGAACAAGATGAAAACTCGTCCACTCAAGTCACGCATGCTTTCCTTCTACCACATTCATTCCTCTTCGCATCCTTTCTTTCCCTTTTGTTGGGGTCGTTGGGAGCATCCCACGAGACACATGGAGAACAGTGTGGCATGGTCAAAGTTCGAAACATGACACACCCAGACACCGACCGTCATGACTGCTCTGCATTGGCATGGCTGGGTCCCTCATGCAGGCAGGTCATGCCAGCTTACTTTTGTGCTATTGTGCCCTAGTGGTGCACAAGCTGCCTGCCGTAGCTGCCTACCCAAGCAAAAACAAAAAAGTATCCGTACAGAGTCGTGTCTATGCAGCGAGGAGAAAATAAGGAAGATGGGGGGGGAGGAGGAGGTACAGCGTACCTGCTCCCCCACCCGTCCACCCAGCCCATCCCAGTTATCCATTCGTTGGCGTGGCTTGCCACTGCTCTACACAGCACAGCACTGCGGCCAGTCATTTAGCACCTTCTTACCACCTCCTTGTCTGCCTCTCGTAAGCGGGAGCCCATCCCGTGGCCGAGCCGAGCGAGAGCGAAGCACAAGACAGCACTTTGTAGCCATACACCGGCGCACAGGAGCCGGGAAGCGGAACAGCGTTACGTGTTTCCAGATGCGGCGCATAGGCCAGTAGCCACATCCATCCGCTTTGCTTTGCTTGACTTTCTGACTTTCGACTCTCTCGGCCTTTTGCTCTAAATACCGTGCCCGTCCCACCCCCCCTTCGCCCCAGTTCCTGTGGTTGCTTTCAGAGTAATACCTAGTACCCCAAGGGGATCTGTCTCGCCTTCTCATTTGCCCATTGCTGCTTTCACTGCTCTCGTCTCGTTCCTGGGGTGGCCCGTCTCACTAGCTGCCACTGCCTTTTTGAGAAGGATTCGTAATTACCCAAGACGCTAAAGGATAGAACGGCAACTTCCAACACGGAACCCCGCCGGCGGCGTCTCGCCCTTTGCCTCGGTCTTCACCTATTATTCGTCTCTTTGTTTCCCTCTCTTTTGTCATCCTCGGAATTCCAATTTCCCTAACAAACCGTCACCAATTACAAAGAGATCATTTTCTCGTTTTCTCTGGCCCCCCAGTCTTTCCATATCTACCATCACATACCCAACCACTGTTCAGTTGAATATCAGCCCTGCGACCACCACCACCACCGCCCGACCACACTATACTATCGCACTACTGCCACCGGATCATTGCCTAATCCCCCCCACAATAAACTAAGACCGCATTTCCCTCGCAGAGCCTTACACAATGACCAACGCACCACGGAGCCCGTCGACCAAGAGCCAGGCTAGTCTTCGGGACACTGGCTTCCCTGAGCCCTTCAACGGAGGTGAGTTGATTATCCACTTCAACTACCAGTTTGTCATAAGAAGATGGGGGGAAAAAGTCTGACAACTCCCAGAACGCAACACCACACTGCCGCATCCCGACGCCAACCTGTCACCCGATGCTGTCATCTCGCAAGACGACATTAGCGGCCAACGAGTAATGGCCCGCACGCGGCGTTCGTTCCTTCAGAAACACAGGCGTATCATCAGCCACGGCGTCATCACGCCTCAAATGGCCGCACTCTACAGCCAAGAGGCCCTGCTAGAGTCCGAGGCCGAAGCTATTTTCGATGCCGACGGGCCGTCCAACGCCAGCCACTTTAGCCTACCCGTGGGCCGCCCGCATAGCAAGGACGGCTCCGAGAGCATCGTCTCCCACACAGCCGGGGACCTCTCGCCCGTCTTGTCGGCACAGAGCGGCAGCAGCCGGAGGAACAGCTTGTTTCAGAAGTTTGGCCTGCGGAAGTAGGGGCGAGCCCGGCTGAGCTCTCCTAGATGACGGAGGGGGTTAGGCAGCGGACTGTCAAAACCATGTGCCACGCACGATGAAGAAACGGCCGAAAAGACTGTAATAACAGACCACCTACAGCGCAAGCGCGGAGTTATTTTGATATATTAATACTTTGGGTTGGGATTTGGATTGGGATTCGGGATAAGGACTGGTGGGCTGGCTTCGGGGCCTGGTTTTAGGTTTTAGGAGCAACGGGATGGCGACCAAAATGCATTGCTGGGAAGGCTTAATGCTCATACTTGGTGTCGTCATCACTATCATCGTCAATGCCAGCCTTGCTGGCTGGGACACTGTCCATAAGAATGGACATTTACCTCCGAGGGACGATGATAATACTATCGTTAGACAACCAGTATCTTCATAATTAGATCATTACATTGCAGGGTTCTTGCAAATTGGTTATCTCCCTCTATCACTCTCCCTCCCCTGTCTGCATGTTTATATGCTTGCTGTGGACAAAGACTCATAAATGTGCCTCTCATCTGGTCCATCATCCGATGGCCAACCCCCTCCCACCCTGGAGCTAGTCTCCCCAATCCGAACCCATTCCCACCCCCTATACAGGAAGACTTTCCCCCCCTCTCTCTCTGTCTCCCGTCAACCTCATGGCCACCCATCCCTCCCCCCTCCCCCGGACCAAAAAAAGAAAACAGCATCTAGCTGCCGCGGTAGGTGGTGTAGCTGTAGGGGCTCAGCAGCAGGGGAACGTGGTAGTGCTGGCCCTCGCGGACGGTGAAGACGACGACGGCCTCGGGGAAGAAGGTGGCGTCCTCGCCGCCAAAGTAGGCGGCGGTGTCGAAGCGCAGGGTCCAGCGCGAGGGGCCCTGGAGGCCGCCGAGGACGTCCTCGAGGGTGTAGACGGGGACCTCGCCCGAGGCGGTGGCGTCGGAGAAGGGCAGCCAGGCCTTGACGCGGCCGTCGTCGTCGGTCTGGGACTCGAACTCGCGCAGGACGCCGCCGGTGGTGGAGGGAGAGGAGGAGGAGGAGGAGGGTACCGTCGTCGAGAGGTGCACGCGCACGCCACGGGCCGGGCGGCCCGCCGAGGTGTCAAGGACGTGGCAGGTGATGCGGTCCTTTGTCTGGGACGCCATGTTTCGGTTTTTTTTTTCTTCTTTTTTTTCCCCTTTGTTTCTTTCTTTCTTCTTTTACTTATTTACTCGATCCGCTTCCCTTTGTTCACTGCGGTGTGAGATCTGCGGTGGTTGTGTGTGTGTGTGTTTTTTTTTATCCACTGTCTTGTGTGTATGTGCTTCCTAGGTATGTACACGTTGCGGCGGTGGGAAAGGTGAGAGGCGATGTTGGGCCGGGCTGAGGGATGAGGCTCTCCCGACGGGTGATGGCGGGGTAAAGATCAGGGCGGTGGGCTGGCGAAATTGCTTGGCGGGTTGGTCCCCCCCCCCTTGTACCTGGCGGAGTGGGGTCGGGTCGCTCACGACAAGAAGTAAACGGATTTTGGTTCTGCCTCTTTGCAAAGGGACCGGTAGTAACAAAGCTACTTATGCTTCTTGCGGATGGCTCGAATAGATGTTCAAAGAAGGATGGGAATGTTGTTTTTGTCTAGGAGGGCGGGTGTGGCCTGCGGCAGATACATATATATTAAAAGCGAAGCCGGCGGGGAGAGGAAGAAGTAGCGTCGCAGGCCGCCGTGATGCGATGCGATGCGGGAGGGCCCCACTTACTCCAGGCTACGGGCGGCTCGCCGAAACCAACCACGACATTCGATTTCCCAGGCTACAGAATTCCAGGAATTGAAAGGGGGAACGGGACATCTACCGGTTGAAGGGCAGATGGTTTTAAAATAGAAAAAAGCACACAGGGAGACGGAGCCCCTCGTTTGGACGGATGAACTGGCGGCCGTCGCACAGGTACTGCATTTTCTTGAAAGGATGTCGGACCTGTCACACATGATGATGCGGGGGAGGGACGACTTGTGTAGAGACATCAATAGGATACTCTCAACCACAGACGCTAGTCGAGTGTTGGATCTTTTGCTTCGGGGTTTTCCCTCAGTGTTTCGTTTTGTTTCATTTTTGTGATTATTTCTGTTTTAACCATTACCCTACTTGGACACTCCTGATGAAGCTGTGCCAGTGGCTGTGGTGCCAGGAAGGGGGCACAGACGGTAGATGCCGGGCCCGAGGAGCGGGAGCCCCCGGAAGTGTTCTGAGCGGCAGCGTCTTTCGTAGGTAAGCAAGCAAGCAAGCAAACAGACCCCGACGTCATTGGCCCGTGCGTCCCACTTTCGCAGAAGCGACAAGCCACAGCTTTCTCGGCGGACTCTTTCGACCGAACACACAACACACCAGACAATGGGAATCCGACCCCCAAGAAGGCGTTAAGAAGGGCCAAATTACATGGCATTATGCCTAAACCCGGGCTCAGGCCCCCGGGGCCGCCAGCAAGAACCTGCGGCTTCAAGGTTTGATGCCAGCATTTCCCCGGCCTAGACCACTGGATGGACCGCGCGCTACCGTCCATTATCCGCCTGCCTCGCCGCGAAGCAGTTGCACCCATCACGCGTTGTTTCTCTGCCGAGATCTGTACGGGGAGACGACTCGACACTAGGCGGCACCGTGATATTTGGGTGATGATCTCACCTCTGCTCTGGGCTGCGCGCGGAGTCTTGGTATTGCTTGGTATTGCTTGGTATTGCGCACCACGCGCGTCAGACCACCAAGAAGCTTGGCTCATGCCCCGGCTGACGTACAACGACGCCGTCCACTGAAAACCGAAAACACGCCATTGGCCCCAATCCGACAATCGCCATAGGGGAACGAACTGATTGAATCAAGGGAAAATCACCGCCAAGGAGCCAGGTAAAATGGCCGCAACCCACCGCTCTAGGCCTCTGGCCTACGAATCTGTACAAAAGCATCTTGGACCGCCGTCCTCTTCTCCCCCCCTTTCCGGGAGGATCACCGTCCCACCGACACCCATCACGTTTCTTGTCAACAGAGCCAAAGTGAAGAAGAAGAAGAAGAAGAGGAAGAAGACCCCACACGGGCACACCAACCACAAGCCTTGATGGCGGCCGTTGACCACCCCGTCACGAACCTCGACGAGGGAGTCCGGTACCTGACCCAAGACGAGATCAACTCCTTTCTCGACGACCTTGACCACAACGGCGACGGCTACATCGACTACGGCGAGGTCGAGGCCAAGCTTGACGCCGCCCACGACGCGCTCACCCCGCAAAACCAGTCCAAGCCGCACCACGTCATCCGGAAGAAGGACCAGCCCCAGGACTTCTCGTCCAAGCAGCAATCGCGCGACGAAAACCGCCTCCGCCATGAGTTCCTCCGCACCATCATGGGGCTCCCCGGCTCCCACCCGGGCACCACCTCGGACCCGGCCGCCGATGAGCGGAGCCGCTCGCACCGCATTCCGCGCGCCGACTTCGCCTCCCGCGTCCGCGAGTGGAAGATCCCCTCCCTGGAGCAGGACAAGGACTCGGAGGACTCGCAGAAGGACTACGTCCGCAAGCTCCTCCTGTCCCGCCGCCTGCGCGCCTACTGGGCCGTCCACGGGCCCGAGATCGTCTTCCTGGCCCTCGTCGTCGGCTGCACCCTCGCATTCGGCGTCTGGCAGTGCGTTAAGTACGTCACCCAGACCCGGTACCGCGCCGCCTTCGGCTGGGGCGTCGTCATGGCCAAGACGGCCGCCGGCATGCTGTACATGACCTTCTTCTTCCTCCTGCTCAGCATGTCGCGCTACTTCTCCACCTGGATGCGCCGCTCCTACTACGTCTCGCGCTTCGCCAACTGGGACCTCAGCCAGTCTTTCCACATCAAGATCTCCATCGTCGCCCTGGCCTTCGCGACGCTGCACGCCATCGGCCACCTGACAGGCTCCTTCTACCACGGCAGCCGGCCCGCGAACCAGGACCGCGTCGCCGAGGTCCTTGGCCCGGACATGGTGCCGCGCCCCTACGTCGGCTATGTCCGCACCCTACCCGGGTCCACGGGCATCGCCGCGCTCGGCTCCTTCTATATCCTCGCGCTTCTGAGCCTGCCCAAGGTGCGCAGATGGAACTACGAGGTCTTCCAGCTCGGCCACCTGCTCATGTACCCCATCATCGGCCTCATGATGGCCCACGGCACGGCGCACCTGATGCAGTGGCCCATGTTCGGCTACTTCCTCGCCTTCCCAACGCTGCTCATCCTCGCCGAGCGCGCCGTCCGCGTTGGTACGGGCTTCCACAAGATCAAGGCGACCCTCAGGGTGCTCGACGGCGAGACGGTCGAGATCACGGCCACGATCCCGAGCGAGCGCATCTGGAAGTACCAGGCCGGCCAGTACGTCTTCCTGCAGGTGCCGGCACTCAGCACCTTCCAGTGGCACCCTTTCACCGTCTCCATCTGCCGGGGCAGGGAATTCCAGCTGCACATCAAGACGGACGGCAACTGGACGAAGCGGCTGCGCGGGCTCGGCGGAGACTCGGGGACCGCCGAGATCGACGTGGGCATTAACGGCCCCTTTGGCGCGCCGGCCCAGCGCTTCTACGACTTTAGCCACACCATCATCGTCGGGTCGGGCATCGGCGTGACCCCCTTCTCGGGTATCCTCGCGGACCTTCAGGCCCGCGACGACGAGGAGCATGGCGGCCCGACGCACGACCACGGCCACGCTTCTCAGCATCAGCACCGCCACGACTCGGAGACGACCGTCACGGCGGAGAAGAAGCCGGCCGACAGCCCAGAGAGGAAGGACTCAAAGGCGACGGCAGCCCCCGACGCTAACGACCCCAACAAGGCGCCCAACCCCTCAGAGGCCTTCGCCTTCGCGGCCGACTACCGCCGCGTCGACTTCCACTGGACCGTCCGGGACCGTAACTACCTCCTCTGGATCGCCGACCTGCTCAACTCGGTCTCGCGCAGCCAGGACTGGCACCGCCGGCACGAGGGCGCCGACCAGCACCTCGACATCCGCATCGCGACGCACGTCACCCAGAAGCGCCGCAACATCGTCACCCACGTGTACCGCTGGCTGCTCGAGATGCACCGCACCGACGAGCACCCGGAGAGCCCGCTGACTGGGCTGCTGAACCCCACGCAATTTGGCCGGCCTGACTTTGACGACATCCTCGACCGGCACTACGAGGACATGCGGCGGTTCCGGGCGAGCAAGCGGGCCAGCATGAACGCAGGCGCCATCGGAAGCGGCCTCAACGGCAGGGAGGAGGAGGAGGAGAAAAAGAAGAAGACCGGTGACGGGGGCCGGGCCGACGCTGACGCCGATAGCATCACCGTTGGGGGCGGAAATGGTAGTGGTGGTGGGGGCAAAGACGGCCCCTCTCGCGGCGCTAGCGGCGGATCATCGTTGTCATCGTCCAGGCGGGATGTGGAGGTGGTGGAGGAGGAGGAGGAGGAGCTCAAGGTGGGCGTGTTCTACTGTGGCGCGCCGGTCGTCGGGGAGATCCTGGCGGACAAGTGCCGGCAGCTCTCGGTGCGGGGTCGGCAGGACGGAAGCAAGATCGAATACCACTTCATGAAAGAGGTTTTTGGGTAAATGGATTCACCCAACCAACAACTGGATTTACCCCAAAACCGTAAATTCATTCCATGCAGATATTTGACTTTTTTGTTATTTATCCTAGATTCGCGTTGGCTAAAATGAATTTACCCAAGGGAGGGTAGGGGAGGGGAGGGAAGGGAAGGGGGGTGGGGAAAGAAGAAGGCGGGATAAACGGGCGTGCGCCGCCGGCTCAACAGTAGGGTTTCTCGCGGTTGTCAAAGCTCTCCCCCCTTCCGGTAGTGCGGCTAGTTGGGTGATGACACCTGGATAAGGCCGAAGGCAGACAAAGGAGAGGGACGGTCGGAGAAGACATGGGAAGGACAAGGAGTTATCGAGAGTGTGTTTTATGATATAGATAGGGCAGACGACGACGAATCCTTTTTTGGAAGCGCCCCCCTACCCCCCTCCCCAGTTCAAGAACCGTTACTATATTTCATTTATTTTTATTTTCCCTTCTTCTTCATCTTCCTCTCATCTTTCTTCAACTTTTTCCTTTTGCCGCTAGCACGACGCCGTCACGCAATTGTGCCCGTCATTGAAGAAACTCTCGTGATTGGCGGGCTGGCTGGGGGGGGGGGGGGGGGCTGACTGACCTGACCTTTGCCACTGACTAACTGCACACACACACACAGCTTTTGCCGCTAGCCGCCGCGCGATGCTATCCGCCATTGGATTGGTTTAGAACCGCTTCGGCTCAAACGACTTCGCCCTGTCGTTTTCATGGTTTTATTTCCTCCTCTTCTTTGCTTTTTTGCCTTTTTTTCCCTTCCTGTGCCGATCCTCTCTTACTCGTTACCTCGCTCTGCTCGGGTCTTTTACCATGGTATCATATCATGCAAAAGAAAAAATAAAAGGAAGAAAAAAAAAAGGGCTGAAAAGACCAGGGAACATCGCAGCAGGCCCGGTAATTTCCAGGATGATAAACCCATGAACCTGGGCGAGGGGGGAAACCTTTACCTGCCCTGCCCTCCCCATACGTGCGTCTGGGAGAAAGTGGGTTTCGCCTTTCTTTCTCTTCTACATAGGAAGGAAAGTCTCTATGTGAATGACAATCATCTTCCCCCCCCGACGAACGGCAGCCAGGCGAGCAGGGATCCTGGGTTCCGCGGGGTGGAGGAGTTGCGTGGCGCGTGGCTATTCTTTTCCCCTATGTACTGCGTACGTGACTCGTCCGTTCTCTCCCCCCTTCTCCGTCGTCTGCCGACTTGACACATGTCTTGTCTTGGTCTCGGTTTGCGTCGCCGGAGACCACCCCGTCCCCCTCCCTATAGGTATACTCTCTGCTCTGGCGCTGTACTGGGACGCGTCGCCTGATCTGCGTGCGTGCGTGCGTCTGTGCTCGTCCACCTCGCCCTGTCCCTTCTGCTTCCAAATGAGAGGCTGGAATACTACGGAGTACTGTCGGTGTAAGAGAATGGTGCCAAGCAAGATGGAGGCCCTTTCCTCGCCTCGCTTGGCTGGCGAGACAACATGGGGAAGTTGGGAGCGGGTACTTGTGCCAAGAAAAGAATCCCGCCGGGGGGGCGTAGATCACGGCCATCAAGGGGGAGGGGAGGGAGAGAGACTGCAGAGTGCGACCGCGGAAGCAGGCACGCTCGCACGCTCCGGGCCTAACGACTCTCTACAAGAAAAAAGAGAGCCGGTAAGCGGGACAAAATAGATGTGCCCTTTCTCCGAGCCCTCTTTCTCCCCCTTCCCTGCCGACGGCGGCTGAGACGTAGGAATTCTGCCGAAGCGGCAGCGGTGTTCTCGCACGCGCACATGCTGCCTCTCTGCTGCCTCTGCTGACGCGATGCTGATGCAGCCACGAATGATGACACGGGAAACGTCTTCATCAGGGTTTCCCTTTCCCTTCTCTTCTATTTTTTTCTTTGTTTCTTCTTCTTCTTCGGACGACAGTAGTCTTCCCCCTTCGTCTTTCGCCCGCTACAGAGTATGGTGCTCGAGATCAAGAGGTCCCGGGGGTAGCAAGCCGGATCGCCATTGGGTAGGTCCCGACGACAAGATGACGAGGCACGAGACGATCAAGGCCGGTGCGAAGGGTCCCATCAGCCCCCGGAGACAGGACGGGCCATAGAACACAAGCCCCTCCTGACGCTCCGGCAAAGAAGAGGACCCTTTGTTCTAGACGCCTTCGCATGGCGCCCCGCCAAGCGCTGTAATCTCATGTCGAGAGACCAGATATCAACCCGGGACCTCAGTCCCCTAACCTCCAAGGCACTGCATTTCGAGCCGTAATCGCCAAGGCAGCGAGAGCTGATCTACGTCGGCCTGGTCGTTCGGGTCCAAGTGCCGTAAACTAGCGCGTATGTGCGAGAAGAGGCCACCGCAGGGCGAGCAAGGCGGGATGGCATGTGCGTTTGGATCTGCTCGCAGCGTTACATCGTCCTCCAATCAATCTCTTGGCATGCAGACTTTTGATGCGCATTTCTGCCGCCGCTCCTCAAGGCCCGAGAGTGGCTGCAGGGTTCCTGGACCGAACGGCACCGCTGTACCTAGTACGAAAATGGACGCATCGGTTTCTGGGGCTTGGGGGGGGGATTCGGCTAGCGGTGCCTGAGTGAATCGATTGGACCGGGCTGGCCGTGGGCCGCGGGCAGCGAGACACCATGGGAATGTGGACATTCCACCAACTCGATTGGCCCCTACCTGGGTTCCTAAACTTGGGGCGTGCCTGAATACCGAGATGGCACGACAGGCGAGCTAGCCCTGGTTTTCTCCATGGTTCTGGTTGGGCTGTCGATCGATCAACAGTGTTTCGCCGCGTCCGGGCTTGGGTGTCTGAAACGGACAATGCGTGGGTGCCGGGATGGACGTTGGAGAAAGAGGGGGGGCTCGCCAAACGTGTCGTTTGAGCCTCATCTTGAGGCACTGAAAGATACTCACGGGAGATTAGGCGTCGTAGTAATCCCGCGTCAGCCAGATGCCACACCATCAATCTGCCATGGGTAGACGCAGTATGCGTCTGGCGTTCTAAAATATATCGAGCTCAAGTGTGAGAGAGTGGAGGAGTCTGTGATGTTTTTTTCTTTGACACGGCGCTTCCCGCCCACTTCCCGGGGCGGGAGATAATACATCATGTCGATAGCGGGGAACAGATATCTTCAACATGGGGGGGAAAAACCCGAAAAAGAAAAAGAAGAAAGAAAAAAAAAAGACTGTCGTCGTTTTCGTAACGCTTGGTCGAGATTCAGACCATTGCGATTTGATTTGTCGACGCCAGATACTACCGAGAGATCAAACAGATGCATGACGGGGAAACAGAGCTCGAGCCAAGACAGGACGTGGTGGTTACCGTCGAGGGCCATCTGAGTTGGCGGCAGATGCCTTTTTGGGCATTTGGGTTTCCCTCTCTCATCATCATCTAACTCAGTCCCGTCCTTTCCCAAGAGAGAGTCGAGAGCGAGAGCTTGAAACAGCGTTGCTGGCGGACTATGCCGGCCAGTCGCAGCGTAGCGGAAGAGGGGAATGAGACATGCCATCTGAAGAACCATTCGCTGAACGGCCGGCGGGCATTCTCCTGTCCAGCGTGTGTTTGGTCTTCTGGTTTCGTGCGAGTGCCGTAGAGGGGGAACGCAGGCTACCAATCGGACGAAAACCCAAGGACGGTCGCAGGCTGACATGGTATGGTAGCCAGTCGTATGCATGGGGTGTAGAAGAGGGTTTTGTATAAGACTAAGCCGTCTCTTCCCTGCCCTCCTCTCCGTCCGTTCTGAGCTCTGCGGTCACCATATCCAGATCCCTTCTCTTCTTTTATTATTTCTTTCCTCACCGCGGCCGGACCGCCTTCTTCTCAACACCATCATCATCAGCGCTTAAACAGTTCCTCGTCGTCAACCGCCAACATGCAGCTTTCATTCCTCCTCATGCCCCTCCTGTCCCTCGCGGTCCTCGCCAAGGACCAACATGGAGGCGGCGGCCAAAACTCGACAGAGGCTCAGTGCAAGCGCTTCCTGAAGAACGAGAAGCTGGTGCAGCTTGCTGCCAACGCCACTCTCCTGGCCGAGATCACGAACAACAACGCCACGAGGATGGACTTTATCAAGAAGAAGGCGGCTGAGGTCCAGCCCCAGATCGACACGGCCAAGCAAAACGCAACCCTGATGGCGACTTGCGACCAGGTTCGCGCTGTTCAGCAAGAAAATGGACAGTGCCGCTTCATGAACCGTATGGACAAGTTGCAAAAGCTGGTTGCCAACGAGACTGCTCTGAACGAGGTCACAAAGAACAACGCCACCAAGGCCGAAAAGCTCAAGAGCTGGGCCCAACAGGGCCAGGCCAAGCTCACCGAATTGCAGGGCAACCAGACCCTTCTCCAGTACTGCGCGGCGATGACCACCAAGGGAGATTGCAAGCAGATGAACAAGCTGAAGTAAGTGCACATTCGAGGCCTTGTTAGTAACCCAGCAATGGACACCGGCTAACCGCGCCAACTTTCACAGCAAGCTCGTTGCTCTTTCAAAGAACGACACCGCCTTGAACGAGAAGTTCAACGGCAACACCACCAAGATCGAAAACTTCAAGGCCAAGGCCGCCAAGAAGGAGGCCAAGCTCAACGAGATGATGAACAACTCAACACTCATGAGCGTATGCAAGCAGCTCAAGGAAGGCAAGGACGGCAAGGACGGCAATGGTGGCAAGGCGGAAGGTACCAAGAACGGCATCGACAGCGGCGCCGCTGGTGTCAGAGCCGCTGGTGCTCTCAGCTTGGCTGCTATACTCAGCGTTGTTGTTGGCTTGTTGATGTAAAGTGGGTTTCATTACTGTGCTGGAGCTCGATTGCAGGGCGTTTTTGGTCGTTCGTCTGAAGCAACGACGTGGAAGCGACAGGTATCATTCGCTGCAATGATACATGGGCGTCTTGTACAAAGCCATAGTTGACAATTGCGGGATGACATCTTAGTGTTTCACTCATTCGAATGGCTCGGCGTGGAACTGACTCGCGTTAGCTCCACGTTAGACGAGCTATAAGTTATGATCATAGTTCATGAGTAATGAGTGGGATGGTTCAGGAGTAATTTGTTAGTAGAGCAAAGATGAATATCGAAATTTACTGTCGTTACCAGTTCATTTGTGTAACCCGACTCGCGTTCCGCCCTCTGGCTAAATTTGGATTGAACCTGGAGACTCCTGTGACTCTTCTAGTGTATCCATAAAATTTTTGCAACTCTCAGTACGGTAGCACTTATTGTTGTGAAAAATGGGGACTCCATCCCGAGTCTTTGGGGCTGCTCAAGTCTATAAATAGAAACGTAGGTCAAATCTAGCTCGCACTAAGGGACGACGCGTAACTCAAGTTGAGCAAGAAATACGAAAGCTCGTTGAACTGAAGTTAGTACTGCGAGCCAAAAGACAATGGGGTGGTGGAACTACCCACCAAGTAAAAAGAAGATTGAGCAGTCAACGTAGGGATTCTTGAAGAGAAGCATTCCAGGTCGGGAACCATAGGCAGGTGTTTCCATGCCTGGAAGTAACTGAAACTGTAAGCCACAGACCGAGATCCGTAAACCGGGAAACGACGTAAGACTCACTATTGCAAAAACAAAAATCCGTTTTGCCAAGCAGTTCGAATAGATCCGTTCGTATTCCATGATTTATCAAGACCAAGCCAGTCTAAATGTCAAAATCCTCAAGGGACACTTTGAGGAGGCCATTGTCGATATGAGTCCCACGAGTGGCGGCAGCAAGCCTCTGTTGCAAATCATAATGAAAAGACGCTTTCCGGTTGGGAGACCACGGAATAACTGGCGACCAGCGCGTGGGAGCTGCTTGCCGACGACCTCCATTTGCGTCAGCCCGTCCTTTCTGTCCTTTTACTCGGCTTCGGGGATTCCGGGACTTGGGTTTGCTGGGTCTTTGAGGGGACGGGGTGCGGGGTGGACGGTTGCTGAGTCCTTCTTGCTGGACGGCCGTCTCGGAATCAAAAGTTTGGTTGCGTGACTGTCGTGCAACCGGTGAAGTCCGCTGAGAAGAGGCGCGACGACAGCCGAATTCTTCGTCAATGATGTCGGTCATTGGCGCAAGCGGAGATTCCGGGGGCGTTGTCAATGGCGACCAGGACGGGCTTCGCATACTCGGAAGGTGCTTCTCTTCTGGACCATCCGAGTTTGTGCTGTGAAAATATTCAAATTGCGCCAAAGACTTCTCGTGTTTGTTCAAATCCAAGTTTCTAGGGGTATTTACTGGCTGGATGAGGTTGTCCTGCTGATCGCTGGATTGACTTCTCACAGTCACCGAGTGATTGCTCAAGGACGGCGCGGTCGATCGTGGCACAGAAGGCGTTCGATGGACTTGTCCGGTGAGCGCATCGGCATGGCTCTCCCGAGGCGGCATTGGTGCAGCTGATCGGCTGAAGACAGGAGTATTGTCTATCTCCAATGGCGGAGCAAATGGGTTTCTGAACGGGCTCGTCTGTTTGGCTGTTGAGGCTATACTAGGTGCCTCACATTGTGTTATGGACCGGTCGACCTGCTGAGCTGGAGGAGGGCATTGTTGAATCTGATTGTCGCTTGCCTGCTCATTATATTGCTGTCCTGACACATCCATGAGCGTCTTGATTCCCGGGAATGAACCTATGCCAGGCAAGTAGTGGACAGCATGACGATCTTTTTCTCCCGAGGAGTCACTTGACCGCATAACGGCAGTTTCAACCACCTCTGGAAACGTCATGATGTCCCTGACGTACCCCAGACCGGCTAAGGTAGGTATCGATGCGGCCGACTGGTTGGTGAGGCCGAAGGACCTTTGAGAGCATCAGTTTCCATTTATTCCTGACTGGTTGCTCACTCAACACAATGCTTAATTGTACTTACCTTTCCTTCCAGAGACGGAAGTCGAGTCGTGAGCGTTGGCGGAAAGATAAAGGGGAAAGAAAAGGAAAGGGAGGGTAAAGGATAAGCTAGGTATTTGTGTATGAAGGTCGGCGATGAAGGAAAAAGAAACAACTTCGGCGCAAGACTTCTGTTTTAGGCTGGGAGAAGGGAAAGTGCTTTCGAGGAAGTAGCGGTCGTTCAATTTACAAGGTACTCTGTATCGCCCTTGCCATATGTAGGTACTGGAGCAAAACAGGAACCTACCAGATCTGTTGCTGATGTACAGAGTCAATTGCAATGGCCGTAGGACGATGCGTCCGCCTTGAAACAACCCAATAAACAATTATGATGGCCGAATCTGGATTTACTGGACAAGCATTGCGGTTGGCTAAACCCGTTTTTGGAGAGAAGCACACAATAGCCGGGGCTAGGAACTGAGAAGCCATCGAAGTACCATACTTCCGGATACTACCATGATAATATGGTTGTTTGAACCCCAATCCCAAGAGAAGTGTCTTTGTAATATACACTATTTGATACACTAGCGTTTGGCAGGTGTTACGCTGGGATACTACCCCCTAATATCGCACCCGTTGATAGTATACAGCAACACTGATCCAAACCTACTCGAATCCTTTTAGGGATCGATAATGGAAAACACGAGGTCCCCAGCTATTGATGGTCCCCAGACATCGCCTAAGCTGTCTGGTCTGTTGCCGTCGTCGTCTTCGTCTCTGACGACTTTGCCGAAACCACTGACCGCTGTGACTGCAGGCTTAGACCGAGAACCTTCTACGGTGATAGTCAACAGCTTGAGGCAACTGCCACCCGCAGTGGGTATCAGGATGCTTTTCCCGTCCTCGTGCTCAAAGAAAGGGGTGCAGCAGGCCATCCACGACTCGCGGTCCTGCGCTTTCTCTTCCGGCTGCCAGACCCAGGAAATCATCTCAACGTCTTGGTCCTCCCCGGGATAATCCTCGGCAGGAAGCTCACCCCTCTTGCGGAGGGAGCGTCGTCGGCAGTACTGGTTGATCCGGTCGGAACGCTCGACAACCTCGGCGTCGCCAAACTTGAGCCTCATGATTTTCCGGCTGCCGTGGTGGTACGCCGAGCACCAAACTGGCCCCAGCACGCGCTGACGCAACACGACGTCGTCGGCGGCCCATTTGGGCCAGTTCATTTGGCGGTCGTGGTTCGTCACCTTAGGCGCGTGGCTGAGCTGCTTCCGTTCCTCTTCGTTGGGCTGCCAGCCGACGTCTTTCACTGGGGGAATGTGCAGTCCCTTCCGCAGGCCGTCGACGAGCATCTCGGCGGCGAGCGGGGTTACGATGTCGTGCAAGCGTTGCGTGGTGCAGTCCGCTGGGACCGGAATGCCGGGGAGTGGCGTCTGGGAGAGAACGGTGCCGTGGTCGAATGCGTTATGGTGGAGGGTTTGGAGGGTTATGCCCGTGTGGGTACGACGCTGGAGGAGGGTGTGTTGAAGTGGCGCAGGGCCGCGGAAGCTGAGAGAGTGGTGTCAGTTATGATACGTTCAGGGGACGATATCACAGTTCATTTACTCTGGGAGAAGGGACGGATGGACGTTGAGTCCACCGTATTTGGCCAAGTTCAGTAGTCGTGGCGGCACGAAGAGGCCAAAGGAGACAGCGACAATGAGGTTAATGTCGTTACGTGGCTACATGTATCAGTACAAATGTAAGTGGTTTGAGATGTAGGTCAAGGTACCTGCCACCCGGTAAATGTGTCCCTCTCATGGATAGGCAACTCAAGCTTCTCAGCTAGTTTCTTCAATGGCACTAGGTATATATTGTCAGCTCAAGGTCCACCACTCGTTCCTGCTGACGAAGGGGGAAATGAGTGTCGAGACACATACCCTCGCGGATCTTCTTCATCCCTCTTCCCGACAGCTTGCCCGGTCGAACGACAACGTCGAGCGACTCGATGAGCCCGGGGTTCCGCTCCTTCTCTGCGTTGAGCGCGTCCAACGCCGCGCAGCTGAAGTCGTCGGAGCCGCAGAAGAGGATCCGGAGCGGGTCCGAGACGCCGGGGCCGGCGGCGGCCGAATAGGGCCGCAGACCCGGCCGGCAAGTCAGGCCCGCGGACGCCCGCGCGAAGGCGGCCGGTCGGAGGGTCAGCCACGTCATGATGTCGAGAGTCCCAAGGAGTTTGCTGATGACATTGCCCTTGCGCACAATGGATCTTGAATGTTCGAGTTGGGGAACTTTCGGTTGACGTTCAGATCGCTGGCGGCAGCTTGCAGCTGCGCGCGCCGGCTGACGCGAGATGACTTGTTGAGATTTGTGGGACGGCACGTCGCTTTGGCGAATAATCTCACTGGAATAAGTAACAATACGAGATTCCGATATTCTTCATACAACTATCCGCTTTATGCAGTAATCGGTGCTCTCTAGAAGAAACGAAGGGAACAATCATGACAGCTAAGGATTGCTATGCAATGTATACACCGACTGTAGTAATGGGTGCATAACAAGAGTTCAAACGTACTTGTTCCCACTTGTTCCAGTCCAAATCCAGGGCGTGGATGCTCCCAGTTGCAGCTTGCGAGTGTCGGGTCGTCAATCAGCTTTCACCGAATTTATTGGAACTGGGGTGTTCGTGTATTCCAAAAAGTCGTCATCTACAAGAGAGCCCAGTCGCACGCGACAACCCATCGTGATCCATCAAGATCAACTTCCCACGCGGGCTGCGAGACTGCGACCGTACTTCCCACAGTGACCGCAACTTTCTGACCTAATCCTGTCAGCCTCCCCTCGCCGGCCAGCATCAGCCGCGCGGCGATCTCTTCGCTTGCCTCCCCGTCTCCCACGACTCTCCGGCCCTTGACGAGGTACATCCTGTTCCCAGCTCGCAGCTCGTCAATGACGATGTTCATGACCAGATTTTCCGGTCTGTCGCCGCCAGTCCAGCCCCTGACTTCCGCAAGCCAGCTCTGTAATTCTGCCGCGAGTCCTCCGGCGACGTACTTTGCTCCGCGTCTCTGCGGTGAGAATGCCTCTGGTAAGCCCTCTTGACGGGAGGTTTCGGCATCCGAGACTTTAAAGCGAGGTGCTCGACGAAAAGTTGGCTGCGTTTTCGGCATGTCCCCCTCGTGGCGGTCGGGAATGCGCAAGTCTTCCTCTCCCATATGCGGCGCATCGAGATCGGACTGGTATTCGTCCTCGAGGTCGGGAAGTTTTTCGTTCTCGTTCCAATTTTCATTATTTTTCATAACGAGAGCATCATAGTGACTCATGACCACGTCCTCCTGGGCGTCATGGTGCCAACTCGGCACAGGCGAGATCGATATCCGCCTCCTCTTTGGCGTTCTCTCTTCGATATCGCTGTGCAACACGCTAGAGGGCTCAGATTCGATCTCTATCGAATCATTTGCTACGAAGGTAGCCTGTGGTAGGTAGGCCCCCTCTTGCTCATGCTGTGAGTCGCTCTCGTTATCCGAGTCGATCTCGATCCTGTCATGTCGTTGGGTCCCAGTCGCCAATACTGGTCGCGTCGCAGAGACGGGAGTGTCCGTCGGGGAACTTTCCAGGGCATCGTGAATAGGGTCCCTATTTCTAGACGGGCGCAAAGTCCCTGGAAAAACAGGCGTGGCGGGCGGTCGCTGTGTTGCCGACGGAGAGGCGAAGCGCGGTGTGGTCTGGAAGCGTTGGCTGCCAGCGAAGACTGGAGGTCCGCTGCCAGGGGTTTGCTGTTGCGATGCCTGCGGTCGCTTGGATAAGAGGAATCGGCGAGGCGTAGGTGTCTGTTGAGAAAATGAAGTCAGCAATAGGATCATGGAATAAGGGATGGCAGCACATACAGAAGGTGGTGGTTGCGTCATGGAGGTCAGCCAAAAGGACCGCGTCTTCGTCGTAGGTTTTTTGAGGCGGGCAGAGTTGCGTTCATCGCGCAGGCTGCTCTACGGATGCGCGCAATCAGGCAAAGCGATACTGTTGATGGTAGAGTGGGTGTAGAAGCAGCACTGCTGACGATGACAATCGGATTGTCAGTCGCGTCGAGCGCATGGAGTCGCGTTAAGCACTACCGGTATGTACAAGCGTCATGGCCGAGAACGGTAGGTGGGGTGGGCCATCGATCTGCTACATGCATAACCCCCATAAGCGGACATTCCCCGACGACACTTATATCCAGAGGAAGCGAGCGTCGCTTCTCAGGATGGCATAACCCCTTTACTTTGTCTTGTTTTCGCAACAGAATGTTCGATTTGAATTTGATCTGGGGGATCGAAGCTTGCAAATGGAGCAGGCTTTCTTCTTAGGGTCCCATACCACCTTAATCGATGACTGATCGTGTGAATTATCTACTTAAGTTAGAATGCTGCATGCAATCTCAAGCTTTATAACACTATGATTCGTGAACAGCAAGTAATTGTACGGAAGTAAAAATATCTGCACAATCTCGTTGGATATATGAAGATGGCGATGGAATTCAACCTTCATTATTATAGAATCCATTAGAGGCCCTCGAATTCCTCTCAATCTCAAATTGGATCCGCGCTACAGCGCTCAAAGTCGTTCCCGATGTGCTATCTGGCACATAATATATTTATCTAACCATGAAAGAAACTAAAGCTGGGGACAACCTGCGCTCTGCGGCTCATCCAGCGGTCGGAGGTCGCGAACCATTGATATGAATCTGCTTGCTCTCCCAGCCTACAAAACTCAGTTGGGAGGAGGCAATATCTGGATGGTGCCCAAGGTCAGTTCTATCTGTCTTCATAAAATTTCATATACGTGCTCGATAATATCATTCAGACAGTGCGTGTTGCTTGTTCCAGCCTCGGCTTGTTTTGTCAACATCTAAAATGAATATTAGCGACCAACCATACTGCAGGTTGGTAGCAGGGTGTCCGGTTCAAATTTGAAAGGTACGGTTCCTTTCAGTCGAGCTGCTCAAATGTTCAACTCTGTTGGAACTGTTTTAATATCGTCATCTTGGTGTGTATTTTCAGAGATTTCATTCAAACTGTTTCGGCCAACCGAGTTCTTTTTACAAGACAAGACCCGTCTCGTCCTTGTCCGCGACCCATGGCTAAACTTGAGACATAAGTCCACCATTCAAAGATCTGCTCGCCATGAAACCTGGCTGGTTGCTTCAGATAACGGCCGAGTTTTATCCCCCCTTTTGGTTGCAATCCAATCACATTACCTTTATGAGAGAGACTATCATCACGGATCTGGTTTTAAGCGAACCTGCGTTTCCTCTGCAACTCCCTCGTTATGCGACGCATGTTTGTCAATATATGACCCTCCGAGAGACCATTGCCCGCCAGGAGTAAGAGAGAACACAGCCTGGTCCCTTCACTGTTCAGGCATTGGCAGCCATGGCGCACATCCACGCTTTCTCCAGGTATTATCTTATGATAGGAACGCGCCACAAAGCGGCCCGTTGGACGGGAGAGAGCGTACATGGGATATAACCCGACCATCAGGCAACAGTGTCCTATTTACCATATCCCGAAGTAGTGGGATAAATGGACCGCCGCAAAAGGATCGCACACCATGAACGCTTCCCAGGCCGTCTCGTATCCTACACCGATCGCGTGACACAGCCCACCCCCCAGGCGCAAGCCACATGGCAGAAAACATCCCGAATCTCGGCCGACCACGGCGCGGGCTTTGGTTGCGGGTAATGTTTACGCGGCTATGTGGCGGCCCCTTGCAGGACCTCAGATACCGTGGAACGGCGTGATGTATCGGGGAGTATTAACCCATCACGCCCCCCACCCCCTCTCTCGCGTAACGTACAACGGACTGGTACTGTGCGACTGGACGGTCAGCACCCGCCGGCCAGAGATGCAGCTGGGCCTCGAGGTCTCGCATCAGGGACAAATTATAGATCTATTTTGCATCTGGTCTTTAAGCCGTTCTATATAACGTCTCCTCGCCGTAACCCGACACCCTTTCCTCCATGAACAAACGCCGGAGGGACCATACTGTTACGACGAACGGGGACCGAATCGCTCAAGCCCTCTTCTTCTCATCCCACTTCCTCACGATATCCCCAATCAGATCCTTCCCCGCCTCCGCCCCCTCCACTCTCAACCTCTCCGCCTCGAGCCGCCCCTGCCTCACCCTGGCCTCGGCCTCTCGCCCATCGCCCGCGCGCACGCGACCTCCAGGCGCCGCAGCGTGGTGCCCGCGAACCCCGCGGCGAGGTTTAGCAGGGCCAGAAGCGTCCTGACGACCGCCAGAGGCACCTCCAGCGCCGCCCTCAACGCGCCCCGTCCCGTCCGCGCGAGGACCGGCGGCCGCAAGACGCCCGACGCGAGCTCGACCAGGGGTGCGGCGACGAGGAAGCTGAGCATCTGCACGTACGTATAGGTCCGCGGCTTGGTCGCATAGAGTTTCGGCTCGCACGGTGGCGCGAGCTTGTACAAGATGAAGTCGAGGAGGTTGAAGAGGCCGGACGCCACGAAGGCGAGGATCGTCAGGGCAGCTTTCGAGGGGGGGGGGGACCCGGTCGTTAGCCTAGTGTTGATAATGGACGGCCCGCGCAACTCACCTCTCAGTATGTGAAGTCCCAGCTTTCCCCAGTGCCCTCCTTCCGCACCCTCCACAACACTCCCAAGTGCTTGCCCGATCCCCAAAACCAGCCCCGTGACCGGGTCTCCAGGACTGACCAGGTCGGGCCACTTGACGAGGTTCAATGCCCTCAGATCCTCCCCTTTCACCCTCCCGTTTTCGACAAGAACATGCGCCGCGACAGCGGATAGCTGCTGCCCACCCGGCGTTCTCCAGATCGCGGGCCGCCCATCGTAGACGGCGCATCTTCCCTCCCTTTCGTACACCCCCAGCGTCTCCACGATCTGTTCGAGGCAGACCTCCTCACCGGGCCTCTCCCCCTTCAGCCCCTCCGCAAACCGCTCCGCCGCCGCGGCGTACTCGGGCTTCAGCAGCTCCCTCAGCCGCTCCTCAAACTTCTCCCCCGTCATCTCCGCGATCCCGAACCCGGACTCGGGCCCGCACCCGGCGACGGGCACCACGAGCGCCGGCCGGCCACTCCGCAGCGCCATCGCCGTGGTGCCGCTGCCGCCGTGGCACACGACGGCCCAGACCCGCGGGAACAGCCACGCGTGCGGCGCCTCGTCGACGATGCAGACGTGCTCTAGCCCCTGTCCCGCCTCGTCCTCGTCCAAGTTCGCCCACCCCTTGCATACGACGGCCCGGATGCCCGCTCGCGCCACCACCTCGAAGATCTCCACAAACACCCCCTTGCGCGTTCGCGAACGACATGCTCCCGAAGCCGATGTACACCGGCGGTGTCTCCTCGGCCGCCACCAACCGCGCCAGCGCCTCGGGCGGCGCGCAGCCCGGCGCGCGGTCGAACACGAACCCCGAGATGTGCACGTTTTCAGGCCAGTCCGTCGGCTTCGGGAGCAGGCGCGGCGACCAGAGGTACGTGCAGGGGACGCCCACCCGGTTGTACTGGCTCGGTCACCAGGCGGGGGACATGACCTCGAGGCTCGCGACGTTGACCCGGACGTCGTTGACGACGGACTTCATCGCCTGAAGGAATCTGTCCCCTGCGGTCAGCTTCTGTGTCGTTTCGTTTGCCCCTCTCCACCCCCCGCTCTGTGTGCCGCGAGAATTGCGGATGAGAGAGAAAGGCGAAAAAGGACTCACAACACATCCGTGAACCACCACGAAATGACGTTCTTCACACGGGTCGGCTTCTTCAGCGCCCAGCCCGCCTGCGAATGAGGGATCTCCTTGGAGTTAGATTCTCGGGTTCATCCCGAAGATGTGCAGCGGCACCCCCCCCCAGCCTCGCCGCCATCGACGTTTGGTTGTAGACGTGCATCGTTGACATGACCAAGTCCGCTATGAACGCATCCCCCTCGCCCTCTTCGCCATCGGGGTTCGCGTCGCCAACGCGAGCCCCCCACTACCTCTCACCCATGTCCCGGAAGTCAGACCTGATCGTCGGCACAAGCTTATTCAGCTCCTCGCGCGGCAGCAGCCGCCTCTCCATCATGGTCTTGATATCCGTCCTGCCGATCGAGCAGAACCCGACGCCCGCAGCCTCGACGGCGTCCCGGTACGGCGGGTGACTCATGATGCGCACGCGGTGGCCGTGGCGCCGCTGGAGCAGCTTGGCGACCGCTAGCGAAGGCTGGAGGTCGCCGCGCGAGCCCATGAAGAGAATGACGATGTTGAGGCGCATCTGGACCGCCGTCTCGGCGAAAGCAGGGATATGTCTGCACACTACGGTCGTGGTATCGGACGACGTCATTCACGAAAAGACAGGTCGGGCGGATGCACCTGCAAGTTTATGCCAATCTCGCACCACATCCACATTGTTGCTATGCCTTCAATGTATGATTAATCTATGGGATCAGCCTCCTGTACACCAAAGTCTTACGTGAGACGCTATTCCTGCTGGTCTCCAATGAATAAGCAAGTAAAGGACTATAAAGGGGTTAGGCTGAATGAGGGAACCCTGCGACGTATCATATACGAATCGATTGAGTCCAAGGTGGTTCGGTTCCGAAAGGAGCGAAGACGAAGGGGCAAGAAACCGAAGAAAAAAATAAAATAAAAAAAGCTCAGGAACCCTGTCAACACGTCGCGCACATTCTCGCCTATTCATCGCCGGAATTCGATCGCCTCGCCGCTCCATCATGATAGCAGATCTCGGCGTCGGAAAAAGCGGACCATTAGTCCCGGGGCCGCGGAGACCCGCCGACCTGGCCGTCGGGCAGCTCTCGGCATCCCGTGGTCGCCAAAAGAGAACAAAAAAAGAAAAGAAAAGAAAAGGAAGTGGTCATGTCATCTCTTACTCGGATTTGCCACCCTTTCACTCCACGGGCTAAGCTGCCACTGTCGTCGCACAAGGAATAACCACTTTTTTCTTTCTTTCTTTTTTTTCGCCTCTTGAACACAAAAGGTTCAAAGTTCAGACCAACATCAGAGGCGCCATGACCTTGATCGGCCAGACCTCCGATGCGAGGGATAAGGTCGAGCGCACAGGTTTTAGAGTGTGCGATCAGACTCACCCTTCTTCTTCTTCTCCCATCCTGCATCTCTGTTGAGCCCGACGCTCTCAATTATTCGGTTTCGTCATCAGACGATGCCGCATACAAGAGCTTGACTCGGTATGGGAAAGTAACAAAAGACCGATGGAGACCTGACTGCAGTTGTCCACGGTGTCTGAAGCCCTCGGCCGGTTGCCGCAAAGGGCAATGGCAATAAAGAAAGTCTGCTGGTCTGGTGGCAGATTGGAACCGCCCAAGGACCGTTGTTAGCCACGGACGGCAACGCTACGACACCCCAAAAGCCTGACTCAACTAGGAAAAGTCGACGACGTTGTTGTCTCAAGCGGTTGAAATCTGTCTAGAAGGCTCAGCGACGAAGCCGCAACTTCCAGAATGCGACATGGAATGCAACAAACGGCGTTGCCGAGGCAGACATACTGCACACGGGCCCTCAAGGGAAGCCCGAAATCCTCTGCACTCGACAGCTTCGATTGTCTCAAGGCGTAGAAGTAAATTGGAGGATCTTGTGGACAATGAGATAGCGACCCAGCCTGGCCGACAGCGGTCCGGCAGATCAGGTTTGCAGGCCCACGTACTAGTCTACGGTTCATCACCATGGACGGTCGTCTGACTCGCGAATATGTGGATACGTTGGCGGTTGGGGGCCGCATGCCACGCCGACTGACGTAGAAGAAGGCGGCAAAACTTGAGTTGATCATTGTGTCATACATGAAGAGGATGGGGCAGAAACCGAACACGCACCATGCCGTGGCCGTCAGCCTCAATGATTTCTGAGGCCACCAAACACTATTGTTTTATGGCTTGGTGATACGATCCAAAGCCTTGGAGAAGCGTCTCATGGCCGCTGGTGAAGAATCGGGCGCTTGCATTAAAGATGGCCAACTACGTAAACCGTTTTTTTCCCTTTTTTTCACAAGGCCATGCGCAACCAGACCAAGGTGGGTTAACCTTAATGCTAGCGGCCTCCCGCTGCAGGCACCTGACACGCCTCTGCCGACCGCTCGCACGTACTGGCGTGTATTGGGCCAACGCAATGCCTGCTGATTCGCGGCGGTGACGGGCTTGCTGTCGCTGAGCGTGCATGGCCCTACGCGGAATTTCGGACGGCGTCGGTCCACGTCGTTTGCAGCGTCGTAGTGGTAAGGAACAGGCCGGTGAAGAATGCTCCCCGTTCCCTCATCGTTCGAACTCATGGGCTACCAGAAAGATCCCCCGAGGCATGGATGGCTAGGAGGTGGAGCAGGACAGGGGGGGTGTGAAGCCCGTGCTGGCAAATGACAGCGACAAGTGGCAGAAGGGCTTGGGCGAGCGGCACTGGAGCTGGCCCCAAGTATTTCTTCGTATCATGAGGGTGTTAGTGCAAAGGGTGAAAGTTGAGATGAAACCATTGTAAACCACTCGAGACCGGGGTCCGAGGGTGCAGGCTCGTCAAGGTGTCGCCCAAGATGATCGGCGCAGGGATATCAGCCTGTGGCAGTCCTTGTCAGAGGATGTCCTAGGCTTGGTGGGCTGGCCCGCTGGCCGCCCAGAGAGGGCCTGGAGACAACTGTGTCTCGTTTCGCCCGTAGTCATGACGCACGCGCAGCATCGGGTCCGAGGCGATAAGTGGAGGGGTAGAGGGGCTGGAGGGAGTGATGAAGAGAAAACAACGACTAAGAAGGAAGCCGACGAATGTTAGGGGTTGACCAGCAGCATCCACTAAACAAGCCCGTCCGTCGGACGAAGACGTGCGTGTCGTCTGGACGGCGTTGATAGGTAGCGTCGTAGGGCAGCCGAGTGGGAAGCGGTCCAGAAATGCTGGTCGTGGGAAAGGGGAGGAGGATCCAAGGGGAGAAAAGCCGGTGTGTTGGGGCTGACGGTTTACGGGTGCGCCCTGGAGCTAGGTAGCCAGGCCTTAGCGACCCAAGCTTCCGCGAGCCGTGTTTGCGTCACATCCCTCTCCGTCAACTCATCTTTGTCGCGGAAGCCAAGCTCGAAGCACCTTAGCTGCTACCCACACTACCTTATTTGAGGCAGCGTGAAAGACGCCATGTGGTGGCTATCGTCCTTAGTAGATGGGTTCGCAACGTATATGATGGATGGCTGTGCTCATCGACTCTTGTCAGCGAGGCAAGCATTTCTATCAGAAGAAGAAGGAAAGAAGGACAGAAAGAAAGAAAAGGTCAGAACAAACCGGCGCGAGGGCCAATCTACCTAGTCGTTGGCTGGTTGGAGCGATCTCCCGCAAGTCAGCGAACAGCTGGCTAGCGTGCATCTGCAAATTGCCGAAGCCGAATACTGGGCGATGCGATGACACTCTGCTGCAGCAGCGGGCAATAAGCAGCGGGACGCGGCGAAAGGACCTTTTCTCGTGTCAAACACAGCACGAAGCTTGAGCGTCAAGCCAGGTGGGTAGGTAGGTAGGTAGGTAGTCAGTCAGTCAGTCAGTCAGCCAGTGGCGTGTTCCCGACGGTCTCGCATTGCCGCATCGCCGCATCGCCGCATGCATCGAGGGACAGTCAGTTATGACTTGGATACCCCGTCTTCGTCTTCGTCTTGGATAGGTAGTGTACTCGTGTACATGTACTTTAGTCGTCGGATTTGGTCCTGTCTCTTGACGGTCCACCTCTGAGAATCCAGACTCCAGAATCCAGATGCGGTGGGCGTGGTGGGGTTTGCCTCCGTCTCGCGGACCTCGCAGATTGGGTTTTCTCTCTTCCCCTTTCGTCCAGTGTCCGGCGGCCAGATGCTAAGGTTATCCGCTGCAAGTGGCACGAGTTTTGAGCAAGACGAGAGACAGACAGCGCAGGGGGGACGGATGAAAGACCGCGCCGGGAGCTGGGGGGGCCGTTGGAGATGTTCCTGAGTCTCTTGGCCCAACGTTCCATTCCCGTCTCCAATGACAAGAGGAGTGGACATCAGCTGAAACATCTGCAATGCAGCTTCCTGAAGTGAGGTGGGTGGGGCAAGCAAGTCTCGGACCCCTCCCCCTCCTTCCTTCCACAGCCAAACCCAGAACCCACACCTTTTTGACCTCGTTTGCGTCCACACGGCAGGTGCGTCCGCCGTCCACCGTCCACCGTCCATCTCCGTCCGTCCTTGCGTTGGAGGTAAGAGAGGGTAGGGTGCCTACCTACCTAGGTACTATAGGTAAGAGAGAATGAGGAAGGAGAGGAGAGGAGAGGAGAGGAGAGGAGAGGAAAGGAAAGGAAAGGAAAGGAAAGGAAGGGGAAAAAAAAAAAAAGAAATGAAAGAGACGTACTGCCTGCCCATCTACACAGAACGAACGGCTCTGGGATTCCGGGCCTTAGTTCTCAGGTATCCATCCGCCTTGGGGACACTCCCGACTCCTCTTTCCCACCCTCGCCATTCTCGCCCTTTGGTGACCCTAGCTACCTGCATGGTTTACTACACGTACCTAGTGTACGTACTTGGCACACGTAGGCACCTAGGTAGGTAGGTAGGCTGGTGGAACATAGCCGGCGGGCAAGGCCAGTTATGGGTGCGTATAAAACGCGCCTAGCGTGCCCGATGATGTGCCGTGTTGCGAGGGAGGGGATGCGATTCTGGAGAGAGCGAATAATTCGACCCATGTCTGGATGGGATGGTTGAAGATGGGACAGAAGCCATACTAGCTTGTTTTATAGCGAGGGAGGTGCCCTGTACGCAATAGGATGATCTCTGGCCATTGTATAGTAATCGAGCGAGCCGTTCGTGCCTTTCCTTGTCTTGAGCGAGGCGAGGTAGCAACTGTCGCCGGCTTGCTTCATGTTACCTTCGCTAAAGAGGCTGGATCACCTCCTCTAACATGCCAAAGGTGAGAGCGGTACTCGTATTTTTTTCTCGCTAGTTGGCAAGTCCGGCATGTACTCTCCCAACGTTGAACATGCCTACCTCACCTTACCTTAGATATGTAGGTGGGTTGGTAGGTAGGCACAATAAATACCCCCCCTGTATCCGTACGTACGATGCCTTCATGTCCAATGTACCTACCGGGCTTACATAGGTAGGTATCTGCTTAGATAGTGGTTGCATGTGCCACACTGTACTCCGTAACCCGAGGTCAATTACCCCGTCGACAAGAATAGGACATCCCCCATCCCAGCCCCGGTCCGCTACCGCAGAGAAGTCCTACATACTTCGTAGGTAGGTACATAGTAATTAGTGCATTCGTACCCGGCAGGCTTAGTACCTAGGTAGTATCCGTACGTCCACGTCGAATTCCCAGAGATGCGAAAAGCCACCTTCCAGGCGCAAGATAAAGACTCGTCCACATAATACCTAATCACCACTCCCAAGTGATTTCAGCAGCTACAACAGTGTGTGTATGTATGTATGTGTACGGAATGGAGACGATGGGTGGCGGGACAGTCGCGCCGGGTCACGGAAGGGGGCGTCTCGTCATCCCACAACCGGCCCCAAGTAAAGGGTTGGCCCCGGCAAGTCCAGCAACTCACCTGCGGGAATGCCGCGGGAGAAGATCCCTTCCCACCCATCCAATCTGGTCCGATCCTGGTCGTGACGCGACTTATCCTCATCCAACCCCATCATCTACACTGCCTACCTACACAAGTACATGGCAGGCATCGTAATGGTTCCATCCTGTTGCACTCAAGCCATCAGTCCGCCCGCGGCGATACCTGAACCCGGATCAGCGCCAACACCGCCGCCATGACTTATTCCTTCCTTCGTCGTCTTTTTATTTTGCAGCAGCCGACACCAGCACGAGCACAAGCACAAGCATAAGCATCCGGACCTGGGCCTGCCTGGGCCAGGAGGCTGTCAGCTGTCATAAACATTACTTAACGTAACGTAGGTAACATACCACCTACCTGCACACCGGGTACGAGCTGCGCTGGATGGATCCGAGTCTGAACTTCACCCTCATGCACCCTGATGCGGAGTCTATCCGATTCCCTGGAGCCCCCGTCACCCGTCAACTCATCTTTCAACCTCCTTTGCATCCGACGGTACCTTACACACTACAACCGCGGAAAGGAATCCTTGGTGGATCAGGAGCGGAGCATCCATCCATCCTTCTAAACTGAGGTGGGAGGTATGAATACTCACAACACGAACCCTTCCCCCTCCGCATGTGCCGGTATACAACTACCTAGGGTGGTCTCCCGTGTATGATGCGCAGATTAGCCCAGCTCTTCTACCGACTTCCCAACATATCTCGGGCTACTTCTAACACATCCTTGTGATTTTCTTGGACCTTGTTCGAAGGGGCGGGGGCCCACCCTCCCCTCCTTTGTCCCTCTCCAGCTCAACCCTACACCTCGGAGGCAAGCTGACTGACTACAGAACTCCGCAGCCATGATCCTTCACAGTCGACGCAAATGTGACGCCGTCGACCAGTTGTACCATCCTCCCATCCATGATCCCATGCTGCTCATCACCCTTTCCACGAATCTTGATATCTCGGCTTGCAGCAGCCCCGTCTTGAAACGTAGAGTCAGATTTGCAAAAGCCAATCGCAATCGGCGCAGTCGCCGCCCCCCCTCCTCCCCTCGGCATACCCGCCACGGGTTGTCCGCCAGCTATGTATCGAGATGGTCCAACTTATTCCATGCTCTGGGCTGCCGCTATCCAACTCCATGCAGCGCCGGTCCTTGCGGCAGCCATACGGTGTCTTCGTACTCTGTGATGCCCTGCATCACATCAGCCCGCACCGCGCTGGTCTCAAACCCCCCCCTTTGTTCCCATGCCGCCCCATCTATTCTCCCCTGTGATAGAGACCTTATTCGCTGTCCCTCATCATCGCTCGAGGGGCGTGGCTGCGGCATTCGGGTGTATGCTGCGTAAAGGGAAACAAAAGAAAGGGATGGAACAGCGGGATCTGCCACTGGTCCATCCTTGCCGGGATAGCGATGGGGATAGGTATGTTTGCACGTTATATCGTGTGCTGGATGACTTCGTCTCATCTGGTGTGTGGGCGGGTAGGTAGGTAGTCAGCATCGCTGTATCACCCATAGGGGCTATGATCCCTGCTGCTATCTGAATGCTGATGGCGGGGCTAGAGGAGCACACGATGGAGATATGCCGTCCCAAGGGATCTGAGCTGCCAAAGATCGACATCATGACCTGCTACAAAGGGAGGAGGCTGCTCCCGGGGCTGTGCTAAACAGTATCAACAGCATGTCGAAGGGGGAACGTTGGACTTCCGCGCCACCTAGGACGCTTATCCTAGACATTGACAGAAACGAGGCAGATGCACATGCGTTCCGCATGTGCAACTGTGACGAAAACCAGACGTCCGCCACCTGCAGTCAACAAGCGGCCGCCTAGGGTAATAGCATACTTGTAGTTCGTCTTGGATTGGACGACGAAGCAAATGGGACTGCCCGTCTCCCGCCAGTTCGTACACCTCATCCACTTGTGCACCCCGCCAAGGTGCGCTGTCTGTTGTCATGAGCCAGCCAGGAGTCTTGGGCTACTACACCACAAGCAATGATACAAGCCCCCTTCGCAAGCAGGGGCCGGAAACCATCATTTCGAAAAGAAAGAAAAAAGAAGGAAGAGAAGAATCCCATCCATGGAAACACCCACCCACGTACACGGACTCGGTGCCTCGTGTTGGGAAGTGGGATTGGGGAGGGGTGCAATTTCACAGACAGCGAGAGACGTTTTCTACGCCGAGAGCACGGACTGGCGTCGCATCTAGTGTCAGTTGAGTACGGATAGCTGAGACCAAACAGAGAGGGTTGCCAGGCAGTCAGTCAGTCCATCCATCTTCCAGGAAGATCAGCTAGGAGGGTTCGAATCCCCCCCCCCCCCCAAAAAAAAAAATCTCATCTCCGTCAGATTAGAGTCGGCCATTACCCTATCCCAAAGCATCGCGTGGCTGCAGCGCCGTTGAGCATGGCAACAGCAACACATGCACGAGGCACTCAAGAACAATGGCAACGAGGAAGCACTAGGCCGTTGGCAGAGTTTACCGCCCCTCCCGGTCACCTTGTGGCTTCTCTGGTGCGCCCAGCCATGTGGTTTTCTATCGGGCAACCCCCCCCCTTCTCTCCTCTGGCCGCTTGCATTCGTCCGTCTACCTAATAATACCGTCTCAACGGTATCATTCCAGTGCCGGCAATGCGATGGCGCCTTATCTGACGGCCCAGAAGAAGGAATAACCACATCGCAAACGGGAGACAGCGGGCGACATGGACAAAGCGATTGTACCCCGGCACTCGCCTCGGCATCTCCCGAGCGACAGAAGATTCACACTGCACATGCCCGTGGTCTGGTGTGGTGATTCAGCCCCCCCTTTCCCCATCACGGTCAGATACCAATCCGGTCAGAGATGGTGCGCCTGAGCCCTGTCCCCTCATTCACGGTCCACCCCATCACGGATCCCAGGCTCTTCAAACGGACCACTCCCTTGACAAGTTTCACGCCCAATCCCGGGTCTCAGCTCGCAGATCGATGGGGAGCCTGTGCCTCAGGGCCTCCGAATAGCAACCGACCCACCAGGCCAGTACCCATAGTGGTCGGCCCATCGCGCAACCGCGCTTGTTGTTCGCCGTGTCGCGTTCCTGCCGACCCGAAAAGCGTGCCAATGGCACGAACATGAGATAGATCTCGGCCGCCCTGCCACGGCTATATCACGGCTGTTATCGGCCTGGTTGGCTCAGTTATTTGAAAATCGAAGCCCTGCCTAGCCGTTTCCCCTGTGAAGATCATGGTTCAGACGGAGCGTCTGACGCCATAACCTACTTTTTGGTCTAATCTGATGCACAGCACAAGACCAGAGGGAATCAATCGCCCTACTAGGTAGTAGTCGCCGGTAACGAAGAGCGCGCTAAGCTGCCGCAGCAGGAGCAGGCATGGCCCTCCAAATTCGAAAACCACCTTGGACTACTGACGCTGAGCGCGACTCCAACCTGTGCCGTCTCTGGGTAGCATAAAGACGGGGGGGGGGAGCGGCTAAGGACAAACTGCAAGCGCAACACTAGCGGGACAAACATAGCATACCTACCTAGTTACTCTGTATGAAGGTAACATAGCATGGCATAGGATGGCACAGCACGGTACGGCATGGCATAGCACACGGCATGGCATACAGCACGGCACGGCATAGCACAACACAGTACTCCGTACCGGACAACAATGGCGCAGCAACGAGCAGAAAAGGCGAAAAAAGTGTCGCTCTCGCCCACACCCACTCACCCACACCCACACCTACACCTACCTAGGTAGACCTGCACCCCCCCCCCCCCCCCCCTCCCTGTGCCAGTTACACAAATCAACCCAAGACGCACTCTCCACACCCCCCCCCCTTGTCCCTCGACCAAGTGGACATGGACCCTCATCGAGGCCAGCGGCCAGTCGGGGGCTTTTTCCTCCCCACCGGCGCGCCCAAACCTACTGTGGGGAAGTCTAAACATCGACTACATCTCTTTCCCTTCAACGCATAATGCCCAGCATCCTTGCGTCGCCGCAAGTGGAAACTTTGACCAGATTCTCTAGCCCTCTCCCTCTCCTCTCTGCACACTCATCATGCGTGCTGGCTTCAGTTGCGAGCCTCTTCTCTGCCCCAATCTTTCTCTCCGATGCTTGCCCGCCGCTTTCGAGCTTTGCCCCAGTCTAGTCGCTGGGTGTGTGTGTTGGAATCGGAGCCCTGACCAAACAGAGCAGACAGTAGCACCAGCCGCACATCCGGGCTCGGTCCAGCCATCTGGTCGTCGTCCACCATGTGCCGTACCCTCTTCAAGCGTCTTTGACCTACCTACCTAGTCATGACCTGAGAGGCTGCTGCTGCCGCCTCTGTTCTGACCATCTCTACACCCTCCGCCCGGATTCCCAAACAGCTACCGTCTTCAATCCCTGCCGTCGCTTTTATGCCTTCTCTACACAGCCCTACTAGGTACTTGCTGTGTTCCCTGGGCCCCGGGCTTGTCCCCGTCCCTCGCTGACCATTCATCCTATCTTTTTTGTTTCCTTCTTTCTTGACCTTTCCCAAACGCTGGCCTTGGAACTCCTCCTTCTCACTTCCTCGCCGCCAATGGTGCAAGTCTGAAGCCCCCTCCCCCGATATCAGTTACAATCCGGTCCATATTGAGGTTGGATTGCGCATGTTTCTTGTCCATGGCATGATTGCACCAACGTTCCCGAAACGAAACTTTGACGAACCTCGCCGAGGTGGTCGCCGACCTTGAAGAGGACTGCTCGAGAAACGTACCGGCCGCCCCGTAGTTTCGTTCGTGCTCCTCTTGTCTCAGGGCAAGACGAGAAGCCGGAGGGAGACTGAGAGAGGGCTCGCTTTCGGGATAGCGATAATCTGGAAACGGCACTATCGTCCGGAAAACCACTCTGAAGGTCCCGATCAACGTCTCCCCAGCTGACACTGCCACCCATCACACCACCCCTTGATCGTACAGCTTTGGGATCTTAGCTCTATACCGGGGAGGAGGCGCTGTTTCCTCTGTTTCTCTCGGTTCGAGGTCGATCCGACATCTGCGAACTGCCAGGGCGTGTTCAAGCTAAGAGGTGTTAAAGCCTTTTCGGACGACCCTTCAAGTACACCACTGCCCGGCTTCAAGGTGTTTCGGCTGTTTCAATCCGCTTTTGGAACTGTCAGTGCGACTCTGAAACAGCGATCCCAACGATAGGTCTGATATTCTTATCGTTTGCTTCTTAACTTGTCATCGCCTCCTGTATTACCCCTTCCCCTTCCCTCCTTCCCCCCCCCGCCTGCCGGGCGCCACACACAAAAGCTTTGGGATCGCCCATCAACCTTATCAGTTCCCTATGCTTCCCTTCACCGCTGTCACATTACCTCCCCGCCCCCAAGTTGTGCGACCTCTCGCAGCCTGGGTTTAACAGACGAGTATCCGATATATCGGACTGGATCCTAGATCGGACCCCATACTCTTCTTCCTCTTCCTCCTCCTCTTCTTCTTCTTCTTCTTGAACAACAACGACGACAATAACAACAATACCATCGACCGTTAACAGTACAAGCAACGTCTCTTGACGACGACCACTGGACGGAAGTCGAGATCTACCATTCATCAACGACGGCAATCAGGGCATTGCAACCTACGAGCAATACTACTGAAGGAGAAGAAGGACGGTGCGAACATCATACGATACCATCGCCACAAACGACCGCCAAACTGGATTCGTCTCGGCGACAAGACTTCTCTCACGTTGTCCGCGCTTGAGCGATGGACGTGACATCACTACTGAACGCAGCGGCGGGAAAAAAGCCAATTATTCGGGACAACTCACTCGAAACTACCTCTGCAATCGTCTTTGACGCACACCAAAATACACCATTGTCCTTGGAGAAGACACCTTTTTCCAGGAGGACAAGCGACGTTCGAGCACCGCGGAACCGCACGCCATGGGATGCGGGCGGCTATTCTCTTCCATTAGCTCTTGACACAAAACTCTCCCTCACCCATTCGAAGCCCACCTACTACTGCGAATCCGACGTGGACCAGTCGGCCTCCGCGAGTTCTTACGACGTTCCCTCGTCGAGCTGCCATTCGAGGGCCAGCTCTCTCAGTTCTTTGGCACACGAGATGGCGCATTCCGCCAACATTACCCCGATGACAAGCACACATCCAGGCCGGTACGTAGCGCAGTGCTCTTGGTTATCCGCATAAAACAACACCTCCTTGGCCCCTATCAACTAACCCCCCGTGAAGCCTGGCGAGCCTGGGCGAGCCAGATTCGCAACTCTACGTTGCGACTAGCCGAAGGTGAGCCAGCTACGGGAGGACTGTCTTCTTTCGCTTCCAACGATTTCGACCCGTAGCGTATGATATGGTGCTGTTGAACTGACGTCTTTCTTCAGGCCTAGCATCTCCGGCGACACGGATGCTCAATTAACGGCCAGGTAAGCAAGAGCGCGAACCCCGGCCGGGTGCTGTTCTGGCACAGCCGCATCTATCTGACTGCATACGGGCGCTGACACCGACCGGATAGACCAAACCTACCGCGCGAAGACGACGGCCAACAACACATTCCAGGAGGATTTCCAAAGTCCCCTAAGCACAAGTTCTCGGACAGCCATAGCAGCCTATCCTCTTACACGTCTTCCAACCAGTCTGGGGGTCACTCCAGGATATCTTCATTGTCAACAGTCAGCGGTATCCAGCCGTTCACCTCCCTACTGAACGAGGTTCCGGCGTTCGACGCCAAGATGGCAGAGCATCAGCAGAACATGTCTGGCCCGGGCATGGTTGATATCCAGCCGCCGTCGCCGAGGACGATGGCTCAGCATGACCCGGTTCTGGACCCCGCAATGAAGGGACCAGGGAGACCAGGCAGCCCCTCGGATGCGATACTCATTACACGGGGCATGGGGGGCAGTAACAGGTCCAGTCCAGCAGACGGCTTGAGGTACGTACGCGATGAAGCGAGCGCTATTGCAATTTTGTGCATACCCATCATCCTGCCTTTTCAATCATCATTGCCAGAAAAGCACGCGTTTGAATTTCTGCCAGTGAAACTTGTGGGAGCTCATCGGGCAAATCTTGTCCTGCCAAGTGTGCCTTCCTCACTTGGCTCCCTTCACCAGCACTTTCCTCATCTTGCCCTTTATCTCCTCTTCCAGTTGCCCACTTCACTTGACGTCGCTCGCGCAGCAGGTCACGTGTGTGCCGGCAGGTGGGCTGTCCTGCTCTTTCCATACATTTCGCTGCCTTGAGCGATTCCGCCGGATCTCGAGAAGGCCTCTTGATTCACTGCCATAGCTACATGGACGTCTTTCTATCCTCCCTATTTATATCACCTCTTGCGGAGCCTAATCCGTCTTCTACCTTCCCTGATCCGAACAAACCTATCAGCCAATATCTGTTAGCTCCGAGCTGGAACTCTACTGACAAAAGAAAATCGAATAATAGTCCTCACTCGAAGCACCAAGACAACTTTAATTATCTCTCTCTTCCTCAAGACAATTCCCACGCAAGAAGCCACAAGAGAACCGTTTCGGCCCCTGATTTCGCCGCCGTCGCCGGACCCAACTTCCAGCCTTTTCCTTCCGTATCAGAGACAGCACCATTCACCTCACAACAGTTCGGTATGTCGCCTCCCCAGTCTCCCCCGCCTGCCGCTGGCAGCGACGAGATCAAGTGCATGTACATCGAGAACTGCGACACCGGATCCCAGCCGCGCAAGGCCATCTCCCACATCTTTGGCCGCAACAAGCTCTGCACCCGCATGATCCCTGCCCACGTCTGGGTTCACTTTTGCCGCAAGCACTACCAGCGCAGTCGCTACCGCAACGCCCACGAGTACTCTAAGCTTCAGGTCGACCTTGTGCAGAAGCAGATTGCCAGAGTCCAGCAGTGGAGCGACGAGAATGAGCGCGCCGGAAAGGCAGGCGTGGTGAACAGCTGGTCGCTCGCCATCCGCAAGCGTGAGCAGAAGCGATTGGAGGACAAGAAGGAGTCAAAAAAGCGCTCCTACCAGGACGAGTCCGAGGAGGAGCAGCTCGACGGTGCCATGCTCAACGGCACCGCTGTCCCCGAATGGCTCCTCAGCAAGTGCGGTGCCGGTTATACGACCGTCGCTATTCAGGAGATTGTTGCGCAGCTCAAGACCGAGATCGACAACGGTGGCCTCAGCCAGATCCCCGACATTGAGATTCTTCCCACCATCAGCAGCGACGGTCCTGACGAGAAGCCCAAGACCTACCTCAAGCGCAAGACGAGCGGCGGCACGGCCCACAAGCGCTCGCAATCAATGGGTGTTGCCTTGAGACCCGAGGCACTTCCAATGACCAGGCGCGTCAGCCAGCCCAACGCGTATTGGGGTCATGAAGGTTTCGATGCCACCTCTATTGAGAAGCGCCAGCGCATCACTGACATGGAAGCCGGCTTTTATGGAGACCGCAATGCCATCCCCGGCATGACCAGAGTCCCCTCTGGCATGCGCCGAATGAACATCCCGCATCGCCCTGCGTTTGGCAACATCCGTGAGAACCAGCCCGAAGAAGACTATTATCGCCAACCCCAAATGAACTCCGGTCCTTTCGTCTTCGGTGCTGGCGGGCCTCCGGGCGGCCCTCTCCCTGCGCCCACTCCCCAGCGCCGCGGTAGCAAGTCCATGGCCTCCCATCTCGAGACTTCAACCACCATGCCTACCGCCTACCCTGACCCGCGCCGCGCCTTTCATCAGCGGTCTCAAAGTGAGATGAGCGGATTCCACCAGGGCCAGGCGCCCACCTACAGGCCCAATTCCTCCTCGGGTTTCGGCCCCTACGGATATGGTCCCAGCCCCGTCGATCAGCCGCAAGAGCAGTACAACAACACCTACCCTCGCCCTCCCGACAACCCGTTTGCCCAGGCCACGCAGCCGAACTACTATGAGGATCCTCAGCGGCAGTACGCTTACGGTGCTTCTCCGTTCCAGCCCAACCCGGCCTCTCGTATGGGAACCGGTAGCGCCAATAGACACACCCGTCACCAGAGCACCCCCAACGCTCCCGGTGCCATGCATCGTGCTCCCTCGGCGCACGGCTTCACAATGGGCCCTAACATGACCACGCGCCACGACCAGCAACAACAGGGCTACGACCGGACCCCCTCGGACCACTCGCGTCATTCCTCCTACGCTACTCCGCCCATTCAATCAATGCAGCCTATGCAGTCTATGCAGTCGATGCAGCCCATGCCTGATGGCGCTCGTCACTGATTGTGGACAAGACCTGAGAACTGCACTATTTCGAAAGAGGCTTTCCTTACACATGTGATCATATCACGTTACGTCGACACGGCATTAAAAAAACGGAGTCAACATCTGGGGGACGGCAAGCGGTCATTTGTGTTTCCTACCTCTCTCTTTGATCTTTATACTCTCTTTTTTTTTTTTTTTTTTTCTCTTACTCTCCTTGCACGTCCAATCAACAGCATGAGGAACAGCGGGGAATCAAACCAACTTGTACTACGATGGACACGAATGGACCTTCTTTATCTCTTATCTCAGAATGGCGTCTCTTAGCCATTTAGGAGGGGGTGGCTAGGCATAGGCCGGCCTCAATGATCACAATGATGGATGACTGGACATCGCATGGATCAACGGTACACAACAAAACGCAAATGAACCTGGGGAATTTCTCTTTACAAGTCTTAGAAAAAAGGGGAAAAGTCGAGGGCAACCTTCGCTTTTTCTTTCAGGATCTTGTCGGAGAGCTTGAATGCACGGGAAACAAAGCATACACGGATCGGAAAGGTATTGGTCGGCCAGTGGTGGTGGAGGTGGTTTTGAGCGTGAGGAGTGGAATGGCATCTGTACTGATATATAACGGACGGCAGCGGTCTGGGACTTTTCCACAGGATCCAGGAGTAGGCAGGCTGGGGTGGGTGGCGGTTCTGAAAAGTGGCGTTGGATTTCGGTTTTGGCTTTCGACAAATTCTTTTTTTTTTTGCGCTTTCCCCTCTCTCGAGACCCCAATTCTTCTTCGTCTTTCTGCAAGTCCGTCTTCGCCTCTATCCGGCTTGCAACTTGGGTTGGAAGCAACAGCGGAGAGGGACAAGCAAGTATGGCAGGATAACGGATGGGGGTGATGGGTGATAAAGAGAGAGAGAGAGAGGGGGTTGGCGAGGGGTTGTGGAACGCCCAAACTTTCCTTACTTGTTGACAACGATTTCTTTGCGCTTCTTTCACCTGTTCTCTCGGCAAACAAAAGGCTTCGAATGCTTAGATAGCTCAGCCTAATAAATACGCAGTTGAGTTAAAAAAAAAAAAAAAGCATCGGGCCAGGGGAAAACGCAACAGTTCCTCTTTTCTGACGTGAAGCAATGTGATTCAATGGAACGTGCCAAGGACGGGGACGACCCTAGACCTGAACCTGGATTCGGGCCCGAATTCGGACCCGAAAGGTGGCCTTCTTGGGCGGGCGAAAAGCCCGCCCGTGGATGGATGGCCCCCCCCCCCCCCCCACTTTTTTGCCTGCTTGGCTTTTACACTACAGGTTCTTCCTGAATGGCACAATCCAACTCCAGATACATGTGTGGGTATGCAAGCCCATCATCTATGCCCCGTCTGCGCAATGCTTTTTCCGTAGGCGTACCTTATCTAGATATGCCTTCTACTCCTGTGTCCCCGTCTCACTGTTCCTCATAAAGGCGTCACAGCCGTGGCATCTTTCGTTTCGTCGGGCCCGGTCCGCAGGGTCTCCGTCCTACTTACTCCCTGTACATGATGGCGCCGCCGTCCCAGTCCGCCAGCCTGCCGACGTTCGCCCGCCCCTTGACGACGAAACCGAGCCTCTCGTAGAACGGCTCGACGCCCCCGAGGCCAATGACCCACGCCGGCACGCCCTCCTTGTCGACCCGCTGCAGGCCCTCCCTCACAAGCAGCGACCCGTATCCCTTGCCCTGGAACTCCGGGTGGACCGCTAGCGTCGAGAGGTACCACGCGTTCTTGCGCCTCGGGTGCTCTGGGTCGTTCTTGATGGGGTCCGAAGCGATGTGCGTGTCCTCGAAAATGTCCGCCATCGCCGGATCGGCGCACCTCGGCGGCCACAGGTACCCCGAAAGGGAGTTGAGGCCGAGGAGGACCGGCTTGAGCCAGCCGCGGACGGTGAGCGGGCCCTCGGCCGCCGACTTCTGCTCGGGTGTGGGGTAGGGCCGGCGCCACCACATGAAAGCGACGACCCGCTCGCCGGAGGCGGCGGCGGCGGCGGCGGCGGACGACGGGTCCGGGACGGTCAGCACGTAAAAGATCTGCTGCTCCGGGCCCCAGTAGCGGGCGTAGAAGAAGCGGTGGGACCAGGCGCGCCAGTCGTCCGGGAACTCGCGGCGGCGCGGGCACACCTTCTGGACCGCCCAGTCGTTGCCGAAGGAGGCCATGTAGACGTCGCTTACGGCCGGCAAGTCAGCCGAGGTGCCCGGGCGAATGTGAAACCCTGCTGCTGCTGCTGCTGCTGCTGCTGGCTTGGCCATCCTGGGCGACTGTTGGTAACGATTGTAAATGGCAAAAGGCGGGGGCCCTTGCGGGGGAAAAAAAACAAAAAAAAGGACGATAGACGGATGAGGTCGGGAAAGAGGTCAAATTAAATACCTACAGTACACTTGGCTCGTTAGCCCAAGGTGCAAACTCTACTGGACAGTGAAGCAGTTGGTCAATGGGCTTTCTTCGGTTTCGCCAGCGCAGCGCAATATGGTACCATTCGGGAGTCGACTGATTGGAAGGAAGCTGGCGGTTATTGGCTGCTGTTCAGGTTCTCATTGGGGCGGAGTGGTATACTTGGCTTATCAATCCGAGCGGGTGACTCAATCGGCGAGCACCAAACGTGGGGATTTTTGCTCCTCAGGCGGTCCTGCAGGCGGTCCTGGATCGGGATCTGGGCGTTGTAGAGTACGGCTATTTGGCCCCTACACTAATAACTCCCTCTTCCCTTCCTCAACTACCTCTCGGAAAATGCATTCCTCTAACTCCAACCCTGACCTTAGCCTTAAACCTAATCTCTGATCCTATACATCTTACTATGTTTTTTTTGGTGTATTAGTAGGGCTTTTTCTTCTAAAGTTACGTTAGTTGCTAGAGAGATTAAGAGACCTTGGCGTCTAGATAGAGGGATCTGTTAGTGTGCTGTTATAACTTATGGGGCAAAAGCTTTGACCCTTTTTTCTTTTTCTCTGTATAGGGGCGGGCTCTTGCCAGAAGCAGTTACATGCAGGCCAAATAGCCGTACCCGAGCTCGGAGGACCGTGCAATTGACACTCAATTGCTGCAAACGGTCCGGGTGTGCATGGGCTACTTTAGCCCGGAGAAGGGACCCGATGAAAAAGAGCCGAGGCAGATAACGGCACCCGGCTTGCGTGTCTCGGTGGTGCCGGGCCCGGTGCCGGTAGAGCTAGCAATCTGACCGAGGCACTTTTCGGCCCCCAAAGCCGCACGTCAGCGACAAGAGCGAGCGAGAGAGAGAGAGAGAGAGAGAGAGAAAGGCTGAGCAGAAACCAAGAGATCCCTGGCGACCGTAGTACCATTCTATCCACGTGGACGCGGCGGTCCGCACGGCGAGCCTTCCTCCCTCTCCCCGACCTTGCAAAACTTTGTGGACCAGCCTGCGGGGCCAATGCCCAGAGAGACGAGGCGATTGAAGAGGAAATGGTTAATCGCGGCTCCTTTGTGCTTTGCATCAGTCGACTGGCTCACTTGCGGCCGGCCTCGAGTTGGACCGCCTGACAAATCTTCAATGCGAGCAACAACGTCGGTCGCACAGAGGCGGCAACAACGGCAAGGTGATCCCCCCAATTCTGTGTACGATTAGCCACTGGAAGATTGTGTAACGTTAGCCGGACGTTGTTCGATGGCGCTAGTTGAGGGCATGCTGAGCGTTTCTTACCCGCCATGTCAGCCTTACATGAGGGGGTGCGCACAGCGACATGGGCTGCTGACAGACAGATGCGAGTCTTCATTGTTCCGCAAGTCCCGGGAGCGAAGGCGGCGCAAATAAGGAAACTCGATTGGGTTCCTCAACCATGGAAACGTGCCAGACGGCATGGATGGCAGGCAGGCGGGCAGGCAGGCAGGCAGGCAGGCAGGCAGTATCTGGGACACCCGAGACATGTCGCATACATGGCAAAACGAGATCTGGCTGCGAGCGGTGATTGTTCGGGCTTCGTTCCACTTCTGCGTAGTTGAAGCCCCCAAGTCCAGATGCGGAAGGAAGCTTGTCTCTGACCAGACAAAACTGCGGATCAGCCGAAGGGCCCAAGCGTTACGTACCACTTTTATGTGCAGATGAACCATGGAGAGAGACGGTGCAGTGTGGCAGGCAAGCGGGGCAGCTACGCTGCGGCGGCAGGCAGGAGAGGGGGGGGAGGCGGCCGGGGAGACGGATGGGCAGGCTAGAGTGTGGAGAGAAAGCACGATAGATGCCGATGAAGCAAGCATACACAACAAGTGCCTACCTACCTACCTTAGCACCTTGCGTTCCCTGCATAGTACCTAGGTAGGTAGTACATCGTACGTACCTTAGGTAGATAGATATCTAGGTAGGTAGGGTACATACTTTTTGTACTTGTGTACTCCTTGAATCTTGCCAGTACTCAAGGGTTTAGTTTTTTAGTAGTTTTTTTTGGTCGGTTTTTTTTTCTTCTTCATTTTTTTATTCACCTTTTGCCTCCATTCTTTCCTCGTCCATCCTGAACATGCTCCTGATCGGTCGAGCCCGACTTTTCGGATCACCCCAGCCATCAACTCTCTTCCCTCAACGGGTTTGCCTGATACCGTATTAGGTAAATCAAATTCTGGATGGATCAATCACGGGCTAGCCTGACAAGGCCCCTGATGGTCCTCGAGTCATCCTATCGGCAAGTATCCCTGAGGCGAACCGACAACAAGCAACGAGCAACGCAACAGGGCACCCAACACCCTACTGGGTATGTAGGTAGCTTGGCATCAGATGATGGGGGAAAATGAGCAGCCAGCACATGTTAGACCCCAATTGCCCTGCCCCCCCTCCCTACTCCTCAGCCCGACATGCGTTTCTCAGGCAAATGGCAAACGAGCACACATCTGTTCTCATGTAACACGGCACAACGGGGTTTACAGGGGGCTGCGTCTTCGGCGTCTTCGCCTTCGTTGTGTTTACCTCTTCAGTGGCGCTCAGTTACATCGGGACCGGGATTAAGACTGGATCGAGGAAGGATCCGCTTGGAGACCAGAGAGATCCGCCCTCTCGAGTCCCCTCAAGTCCCCCCAGCACCGCTCGTTATCACTGGTGTCGACCAGGTGTAAAGCCCCTCGATGCCCTTCTTGGCCACAAAAAAAAAAAAAAAAGAGGTCTGGGCCTGTGGAGCACGCGGCACTAGTAAGGAGTATCTGCATCGCGACGTGGGCAAGCTTCAGCACTAGTGTATTCCCGTCGGGTACTATAGCTCCTACCTCACCTTATTACTCCTCAGCCCGACCAGCTCTCTCTCTCTCCCCTCCCCCCGTCGTCAAAAGGACCGAGACCTGTCTCGACAGACTTGGTTGCCATTTGACGGGCCTTGTTGTAACCGCTTCTGCTTTTCACTTTTGCAAAGCGAGCGAGCCGGGCCATTTCAGGCGACCGATCTGTTGCCTGTTGACACCATTGGCAGACCGTTCTGTCGGGAACACCTTCTAGTTGTCTCTTTTTTCTTCTTTTTATTTTTATTTTTTTCACGCTTCCCCCAGTGGTTTTTCAGTCCCTTTTTTGGGTTTCTTTTTCTTTTTCCATTTTTTTATATCTCTTTTTGTCACGTTGCGGTTTGCCCCCGCCCTCATCGCGAACTCCACTGGATTTCCCTCGCGGCTAATTATTCTCGCCCAAGCCGGCGTCCATTTCTGCGTTTGTGTTTCCCATATTTGTTCGCTGAGCTTCCCGCTCAATAAGACCATCTCGCGACATGGCGAGACAGGTTCAGTGGCTCGCCGAGACGCCGTCGTCCGAGGATTCGGACAACATCAACTCGGGCTCACGTTATACCGGTCACTTGTCGTCGTCGTCTTCCAGTTATCCATCTCCCGCCGATACCCCGCTCCGAGCCCACCGCGCCTGCGAAAAATGCACCAGGACCAAGAAGAAGTGCGACAAAGGCCTGCCTGCTTGCTCGAGATGCACCAGGTAAGCCTGCCAAATCCTCTTTCTACCCGTCCGCCAGAGGTCTCATCATGTCTAACATGAACTCAGGCTCGCCACCAGCTGCTGCTATGACTTTGTGGTTAATCCTCCCTCGCTCACCATCGTCGAGCAAGGCTCCCCGAGCAATGCTTACAAGCATCCCAACGACACACGCCCAGCCTTTGAATGGCTCAACCAGGTCGACTTCACCGCTGATCAGATCATGCAGCTCCTCATCAGTCATGGCGTCGACTGGAAGGCTTCCGTCAATACCTACTTCAGCACTGTCAACGCCTGGCTCGTCGTCATCCATCCCGAAGTCTGGCAGAGACGCTGCGCCGCCGCTCAGCTCGAGACCAACCCCAACGATCCTGGCCTGGCCCTGCTCATCCTGTGTATTCACATACTGACCATTTGGAATGTTGACGAGTTTTCGTCTACAGCCATGCTCAGCCATCCGCTCTATCAGTCTGCAAAACGCATGTGGGCCATGAAGAAAGCCTTTTCCAAGGCCAATATTGAGCATGTTCAGTGCGGTGTTCTCCTAGCCCTGTTCGAGCTAGGACACGGAGACATCACTCGCTGCTATCAGACGTTCGGCGAGACCGCCTCGATTGGCAAGGTGCTGAATCTGAGACCCGGCAAATATGTCAAGGAGGAAGAGGATACGCCTGCCGACCCGGAAGAGGAGCAGAATCGCGCGCTTTGGTGGGTGCTCGTTATCATGGACAAGTAAGAGCCCCCTGGGCCATGGTACCTAGGTTTTTACTTATTGTATAGGATCGCCCACCTGCAAGCCTCAACGCTATGGGCCCCGCTTCAGATGGAAATGCCCTCCGAAGACGACCTCCTCCCCACAGAACATTACGTCTGGGATAACGACAGGAACAAGTCGATCAAGATTACCAAGCGGTACCCCGTCACAATACCGGCCTCAGTGCGCGTCGGCACTTTTCAGAGATCTTGCCAGGCGGCTATCCTTATCGGCTATGCCACAAATTGGGAGGCGGCCAATGCGGAGACCGACGAACCTCCCAGCGTTTACTCTTTTGCCCAGCTGGAGTTAGCCGCGAGACACCTAGTCGAGGCTTTGATTACCCGATCCGAGACCTGGAGCGAGAATCTCAATGCCTACGCCTTGTGTGCAAGGTTT